CGCTGGTCGTGCTGGATCTTTGCCGTGAGGAAGTGAGAAATGTCTCTGTAAGCGAAGATGATGAAGGAAAGAGAGAGGAGGAGGGCAAGCGTGATTTGGCTGAAGATCTTCCTCCATGTGAAGATGATCTTGATGGATTCCTTGATGATGCCAAAGAAACCAAGAAATTGCATCTCCTTTTGCCCTCGATCCATCTTCTAATATCTGAAATTTGCGGAGCTTCAAGACTGGGGGTGTTATAAATAGAACACAGTTTTTACGCATTGATTAACTGTCTAAGTGAACTTATATATACATGACAGTACTGTATTCATAAAGAAAAAGGAAGGAATTAATGCATACAAAACAAAGCAATCATACATTAATATAATGTAATTTATCATGCTAACGGCATTCTCTTTCTATTATGTTTAATTATAGTTATCGGGATATCAATATTAGTTTCCTATCAATTTAAGGGATAAATTGGCTTGGATCTTCACACCCGTCTATTTCATTTGTGTCATATGTTATGATATATGGAAGAGATTAGTACTTTGAGTTTAACGTCAATTGAGTTTAGAAGAGACGATTCAATTCATTGGGACTATATATGTCGAACATTTGTAATGTTAGTGTGCGACTTTTGGGGAAAAGACAAAGTAGGCTATGCATTGCTATTTGGGAAGAGAAACGGCAAATCCTGCAAGCGAAGGTACCAAAGTCAATCTAAAGAAACATGTGTTTGTCTAGATTGAACTCTGTCAAGTTTATCTTAAAATGACCTTGATAAACCAAGAAATCAGTTAATTAGGCGTATCATAACGTTAGCCATTGGATCATGAAAAATACATAGACCAATCCCATGGATGCCCATACTTTTTTATGGCTACTTCCTACTGTTATTGTAAAAAAGTTACGATGATGATATGGCGAAAGAGGGAAAAATTACCAAAAAGTCATAAATTTATTGTACTTGTGTCGATTTAGTCCTAAACCTTTCGATTTGGCCAATTTAGCTCTAAACCTTTTGACGATTTATCAATCCAATTCTAAACCTTTCAGCTGTGCCAATTTAGTTATACAACTTGTAAAATTTTTTAGAATCTTCAAGAAAGGAAAAGAGAATCAATAAAGATTACATATTTACTTAATTAGCTTGGCTTTACAAGTTATTAGAAGAGGGTATTTATACCCTAACAATATGCATAGGAAATGATATTAGCTATCTTAGATAATCAAGATATATTAAATAATATCAATAATAACTAATAATATTTGTAACGATATTCTCTAATAAGGAAATCTCTAATCTCCATAAATATATTTCATCACTCCCCCTCAAGCTGGAGCATCCAGGTTGCATATGATTGATGCAACTCTCTTCGAAATTCTGTGATGAAGCGCCATGTAAGCCGAACCTAACACTAAACAAACCGGATTTGACAAGCACTAAAGCAACACATGCTTAGAAAGTTGAAATATCTTTCTCACACAACCTAGATAGAATTGTGTGGAAACCCAACTTGAATTGCGGCAAACTGATCCGTATCACCCCAAAGTGCTCATCTTTGGCTACTTGATGAAGGTGTGCTCGACTCTAGTGCTCACAGCTACCTAGATACTTAATGACATCACCCCCGGTGCTCATCTTTGCTGCCTAATGAAGGTGTGCTTGACTGCGATGCTCACAGCTACCTGGATATTTAACTGCAACTTCGCTCGTCAATGTTGCTCGCAATTAGAAGAGAGTACCATAACGAATAACGTCCATATAGTAGCATTGTTGAGTGTTGACAAAATTGGGAGGTTACTAAAGATGAGATGACTAAAGACAACATAAAGGAAGAAAAGGCTAAGGTTTGTGATACCATGTAAAATATTCTAGAATCTTCAAGAGAGAGGAAAAGAGAATCAATAAAGACTACATCTTTACTCAGTTGGCTTGACTTTACAAGTTATGAGAAGAGGGTATTTATACCGAACAATAAGGATAGGAGGAAATTAGCTATCTTAGAGAATCACGAAATATTAAATAATATCAATAATATCTAATAATATCTCTAATGATATTCTCTAACAAGGAAATATCTAATCTCCATAAATATACTTCATCATAACTTTTGATAATTTGTCAATATAATTTCAAAACTTTTTGACAATTTTCCCAATTTAGTCATAAACCTTTTGATGATTTGCCAATTTAGTTATTCCAACCAATTTTGACTGAAAATCGCTAATATGATAGTCTAGTCAATGTCGGCCGTCCTAAGTGGCATGGCCAGTGCTGACGTGTACAATTTTTTTTTAAAATGTTAAATTTTCTGAACTTTCTATTACTCCTTTTCGTTTTTTTTTTCTTCTTTTCTTTTTTCTTTTTTTTTTCTAACCCTAGGCTAGCGACCCTCGCTAGGTTTGAGCGAGGGCCACAATGCAGTCCTCGCTTGTGGTTGGCAAGGATCGGCTGTCAACCTCGACGGCCTAGGGTTAGGGAAAAAAAGAAAGATGAAAAAAAAGAAAACAATAATTAAAAATAAAAAATTCAGAAAAACTTAATAAATTGTTCACGTCAGGGCTGACCCATTGTGCTCTTAATCAAGCTCTCTAAATTTTGATCACAGCGGTGAAAACTCTGATCATTGGACGAACTTTTGGGTCTTGATAGTCGCTTACTGCGCAATTCCATTGGTCTTATTACTCTTGTATAACTTTTCACCACCAAAATTGTTTTCTGGGAAAATTTCATTTTGGTACCCAAAGTGAGGCAAATGAAATTTTCCCTTGTTTTCTTGAACGTTACTTTCTATAAAAAAAATTTCAAAATATCCCCTTTATAGATTTTATGAATTTAAACTCCATAAGAGATAAAATTTGCGTAACAACAAATTAGCGAATTAAAGTTCCATGGCCGATTAAAAATGCTACGTATAGTGAAAAACTTATAGTTTTTCGATTATTTCACGAGAGAGAAAATTGTTTATAAAGCTTAATCCTATTGTACTTGCAGCGAATTCAATTCTAAATTTTTTAATCTGACCAATTTAGTCTTACGCTTTTGATGCTTTTGTCAATATAGTATTTCCGGCTAATAATTATACCGCTGTAAAAATAATCGTGTAATATTTGGATTTAGAAAAAAAGTTGAAAAGTCAAAGAAGCAGAAAGTGGAAGCCTTCAGTTTATAAAAAGGGGCCAAGAGATTGTCCGCAGAGGGAAGAAAGGAAAAAGAGAGAAAGGAAAGAATGAAGAAGTAGAAAAAAAGAGGGATTTCGCGTACACGCCATAGAGACTTTGTCAAGTCGAATTGATTACGTATCGCAACGCTCGATAAGTGTTCGTGCCCCTCATTCATTCAATCGGAGTAATTTTCGGAGTTAGGTCATATATTCAAAGTTTTGTGAAATTAGAGCGCGAAGTCTGATTTTTGAGTTGCTGAGCTGTGGTTGCTCACCCATCTCTTTCCTAATCTTTTCAGGTCTCGTAGTTAGCGGCCAATAGAGCGAGAGTGACATCAACGGTGATTTTTGGGAGTTGGTTTTTTTGCTGTGTTTAAGGCTACGTCATTCGAGTGAAAAGATGGTCGTGTCACTCCCCCATTTTGGTAGGATTCGGGGTGTGATATCTTTTAGTATCAGAGCCAAGTCATGATTTTTGGGTATAGATTCTATAGGATGTTGTGAGCTTGTGTGTTAGTTTGTAATGCGTTAGTCTTTTGTTAGGTATTAGGATGTATGTCTCTTTTGGGGTCTAGGTGATCGTCGATTCTAATTTAGAGAAGTATGCTTCGTCTTGTAATGGATAACAAAGGCAAGCGAGTTGTTACCTTTGGTACCCAGAATGTATTTTAAGGTTTTTGAAGTGCATTCTAACAAAGAGTTGCTGGCGTACAAGGCTGGGACTTTGGTGAGGATTCTAAATGCGCAAAGGAAGTAGATGAGGCAAGAGGATCTAAGTTCTGAATCGCAAGAAGGGAGCAAGACAAGGTGCTCAAGGTGATGGAGTTTGTGAAAGTTCTGTTGCTAACTAAAGGATAGTCAACTAAAGCATGTTCGGCGGGACATGCTCCGTTTGCGTGGAAGACAAGTCCTGATTGGTTTGCTCATGAAAGTTGCGGGGGAACAAAAAAGGGAACTTCAGAATTTGTTTGTTACTTGAGATAAATGCAAATTTCGAGAACGAAATTTCTTTGAAGGAACGGAGAATGTAGTATTTGGATTTAAAAAAAAAGGGTTGAAAAGTAGAAGAAGCAGAAAGTGGAAGCCTTCGGTTTACAAAAAAGGGCTGAGAGCTCGCATGCAGAGGGAAGAAAGGAAAGAAAGAGAAAGGAAAGAAAGAAAAAAAAGAAGACGAAAGAAAGAAGAGAGATTTCGCCGCCACAGAGACTTCATCAAGTCGGATCGATTATGTATCGCAATGCTCGGTAAGTGCTCGCACCTCTCGTTCGTCCAATCAGAGTAGTTTTTGGAGTTAAGTTGTGTATTCAAAATTTTGTGAAATTCGAGTGCAAAGTCATATTTTTAAGTTGATGAACTGTGGTTGCTCGCCCCCCTCTTTCCCAATCTTTTCAGGTCCCTCAGTTAGCGGCCAATAGAACGAGAACGATATCGACGAGGATTTTTGGGAGTTGGTTTTTTTATTGTGTTTGAGACTGCGTCTTTCGGGTGAAACGACAGTCGTGTCCTTCTAGTAGGATTTGGGTTGTGACAAATCGGGTCGGTTTGAGGGTGATGAATAGGAAATCATAAAAAGTAAGAGAATTACTTTGCCATTGAACTATCTCAAATGACTGAATGAAAACAACCCATCAATGCACGATTTAGAAATAGTGAGACAGAGTAAAAAGCCAAAACAAGCTGGCACATGGAAAATTATGTAATAGATTAGAAACAAGAAAAGGAACTTGCGAGTTGCAAGTAACCCAAGAAGGTGATGATCACTCTCATAGAGTATTAAGTGAACGAAACTTATTGTATGCATGATCATCGTGTATATATGGTCATACAAGACGAGATGCGGCCCCAAGCTCTTACATTATTAGAATATCCGAACGCCGACTTATATGCCGACTTGTTCCAGTTAGACGTCGCTGGCTGTAGGAGGAAGGTATTCAGCCAAAAGATGGACCTCAAGATGATCTGCCAGCGGCGACTTGTCAATGTTCTCGTGGTGGTATGACTTGCACACGAAGTAGATCACGGTTTGCGCGACGTGGCTGAAGAGGAGCAACTTGAGCAGAAACAAGAAACAAAGAACCGCAACCCCTAACCTTAATAACCCTGATCCGTGTCCGCAGGCCACAAAGATGCAGTACACTGTTTGGATTGCCATGGACCCAATCGTTAGCAAGAGGTTGATAGCTATTGAAATCCCCAATTTACCGTTGATCAGGTTTTTGCTCTTGAACATGGCCTGGATACCATAGATGTCCTCTACCACTGAAATCACACAGGCCAAGTTCAAAATGATGCTGATATACACCAACCCAGAGAGGTATAAGATGAAAACTAGGGCTAGTACAATGGCAGGAGAGGGAATAAGAGCAATTAAGAGAGAGAAGATCACTGTAGTCACGACGATGTAGATGGAGATAGCAAGAAAACTCCATAAATATGTGATCATGAGCCTCTTCCACACCTTTGGGAAGACCCTCATCACTCCCCTGAAAGTGATGGATCTTGAGGTGTACACGCACGTGGTCGTGCACACGACCGCGGACGTGGAAAGAAGAGAAAAGATTACAACCAGGACGATGGAGACGACCGTAAAGAGCAAGAGCTCAATTGCATTCGAGGTCACGAAATCGGAGAGCTCGTTGTATTCGGGAGTGATCTTTGCAAAGACGAAGGCGGAAACCTCGATGTGAGCCAAGAAGATGAGCGAAAGAGGGAGGATGAAGGCTAGTGTGATTTGGCTGAAGATCTTCCGCCATGTGGAGATGATCTTGATGGATTCCTTGACGATGCCAAAAAAACCAAGAAACTGCCTCTCCTCTTGCTCGCGATCCATCCTCTAATGTCTCCAATATGTGGAGCTTCAAGACTGAGGGTGTTATAGATACAACACAGTTGTTGGGCATTGATGAGTTGTCTAAGTGAGCTTATATATACATGAAAGTACTGTATTCTTAAGTAGAAGAAATAAATTAATGCATACAGACAAACCAATCATACTTTAATATTATGTAATTATCATGTTGATGGCATTGTAATTGTACCATGTTTGAAACTATATAAATCGTGATATCATCATTAGTTTCCTCTCAATTGAAGGATTAAATTGACTTGAATCTTCGCACCCATTCATTTCGTTTTTAGTGTCGTGTTCTGACGCCAAAAATTAGATTATATCTGCGTCGTCATCGAGGGCGCGATTTGGGAGGAAAGACAAAGTTGGCTATGCATTTCTATTTGGGAAGACAAACGACAAATCCGGCAAGCGAAGGTACCAAAGTAGCGAGAGCAACGAAGTCTCCTTCAATTATCTTAATGCATGCAACCAAGTCAACGTCTGTCTCGTTTGTTTCTAGAGAAACAAGTGTTTGTCTAGATTGAATCTCCGGTCAATTGCCTCTCAAAATGACCTTGATAACCGAGAAATTAGTTGATTAGACATATCAATATTATCTGGTAGATACAAAGGCAATAAAGCGCAGCCATTGGTTCACGAAAGATACATAGACCAATGAATGCCTATGTTTTTAGGCAACTTCTTCCCAAAATTATTCTACAAATTATGTCGATGATATGACAAAAGAGAAATGATAAAAGTCAATCGATTGCTCGAAGCATGTGCAAGGATATATGTGTATACATATGTGTCCATGTACAATAAACATATGAAGGTTTAACTTGCAAAATAAATTAGAGCAAAACTCAGTTATACATTTAGCATTCGACACAAATCACCAATGAACAATACACTTAGTTGGACTAACACACACTAAATTTTTCCTACAAAGTACAATTAAATACAAGGTCTATACAATCCCTGTCATCCTTAATCTTCAAAGGCACGTACTCTCCTAGATACGCCTGGAGATGCTCAGCCAAGAAAGATTTGTCAACACTCTCATGGAGGTTGACGTTGAACTTGCAGACAAAGTACATCACCGTCTGGACTGTTGGGTTCCTCAAGTGCTAAAAACGCAGCGGAATTTAAAATTGAAATCCTAGATAGGATCCATGCGTATATTGAAATCTAAACAGAAGTTCGACATGTACCTTTTTACAGATCGAAGGTAAATTGACAATCGATTGTGTCTGGATTAGCGCCCCAAGTGTTGCGCCTCTACCGGTATCCACACACACGAATGGAAGTCTCCAACGATTCAAGTGCTAGCTAAAGATCTTGGACTTTTTTTTCCTGACCGCCTTTGATCTTCGAGACTCTCTCAAAGATCTCTGAACAGAGAACGATTCTCTTCGTTTTTTCTTAGGGTTTTTTTTTTCGTCACCCACACGCTATATATATATGTGTATATATATAGCCTCATTATCTACGCGAATTAAAAGAAGTGGGGCCGGGCGATTTGGGCCCGTCAAACTGTTCACCTTCAGTCGTACGTTTAATCATCATCTCATAACGTACACGATCGCATAGATAAGTTGAATATGGGAATAAATTAAAATCTACTTCTTATTTTAAGTGGATCCCGGCGCACAGAAAATATTAACTCAGTTCGTTATTGTGTGCGACCCTGTAGGCTCACTAAACATTAGCAGTGTACTCAAAACCCTTTGTGACCCACAAGTCATAAGCGGTCTCTAGCAAGTTATTATGATTACCTAAGTATAGTGAAGGTCGGTTTTCCGACACAACCTAATCCATAACTAATATTAGAGTATCAACCTTGATTGATTCCTAGGGCAGACCACTAACAACGACGTATCCAAAGAGAATAACCATTGACATCAACAAGAAGCATGTCACTCCAAGTGCTATATGAAGCACTCTTTCTCTCACATTGCCGAGCACAACGAAGAGTTGAATCGGCAGCTGCAGCACCATATAGAAATAAACATACACGGAGAAGACCCATACCACGGTCCCGATGTTATGCTTAACCAAAGCATTACCCTTCATTATGGCTTTAATCCCATAAACATCTTCTAGCACAGAAACAGCATTGGCCATGTTCCAAACCATGATTATGTACATGAACCCTAGAGCGTACGGGATCGATAGAGCAGCGAAAAGAATTGCATTCTCAATGATGACCCGTGCATTCAAAGTCGACCATGCAACAAGGAGGTAAGCTAAAATTATAACGCTGGCCCATATAAATGTGATATTTAATTTCTTCCAAAGTTTTGGGAGCACACCCATGATTATCTTGAAGCCGATCTTCTGGGGATGAGTGTAAATCCATGCAACTGTGAACACGACCACCGATATCGGGAAGAGCAATAAGACCATTGAAATTGAGTAGTAAGCCGCTGCGAAGACCCAAAAGGCAAGATCCGAGTTTTCGCCGCTGCGATTGAAGTTTAGAAGGCTTGATCCAGAGGGCAAAAGCCAGAAGACTGGAGTTTGAGCCATGAAAAGGAAGGAGAGAAGAGAGGATGCGGGTAAGAGTTTGGTGGTGAAGAGTTTTCGATGGATGAGGGTGATTTCGAAGGATTCGACAAAGATACTCGAGAAATCAAGTGTCTTCAGATCATCTTGATTTCTGGTTTCCATGGTCAACTTTGCTCCTCTCTTTCGCAGAGAGAGTTTGAAGATGGTGTTTCGAAAAGGTGGAATGGATTTCTAGGGATGATGGGCATTTCCCTTGAAGGAGAGAGTTAGACTTTTCGTTTCTCTAATCTTGGTCTTCATGGAGATTATTAGCAAAATATTACTTTGAGTTAGGAAGCATCAGCCGTACAACATGCCATGTGCACATATATATTAGCTGGGGCAAGCTAAATACTCACTCTATATAGGAGAGAGAAGATCACATAATATTTACATTAGGCATACCGTAATGATAAGATATCGTGGAATTAATTAAGCGCTCAAAATATTTAACCATTACTTTAAACTTTCTACGCCAAACCAAAATATGAACTAGTAAAAATATATGACCGATATAAACACGAACGCACCTTAATTTTTTTTCTTATTTTGCCAAAAATGCCTATTCTTATGTGTCACTCTTCATATTGATTTATCAATAAATGCAATTATGTTTATTTTTTTCCCTCCATTCCCATCATGAAAGTCCATATTTTCAAAGGGTGAAATTTTACTTTTCGATCTTGAATTTACGCACTTTTTTTAATCAAGTGCCTTAAACTTTTAAATCGTCTTATCAAATTTGAATAGAATTTCTATAATCAAGTCCTTCCTCTACCAACTCCGATGAATTCAAGTTGTGTAACAGTTGGACCACATGGGAGTATGACATCTAAAGAATTCTGCCACCGTGGAGAAGCCATTTGGAAAATGACTGAGGGGAAAATAATTAGATATCGTTCAATATTAAAAGAAATTTTAAATCAGCAACAAATATCGCGTCCTGTGAACCATGGTAAAAGCTCTTTTGATATTTTTGGCACACTATACGACGGCCTATCATGCTGAAGAATTCTAAAACCATAATCAAGTCCAACCTAGAGGTATTGACTCGCCATATGGGAAGCGAGTTGGATACTAGTTGTGGTCCAGAACTTTTCATATGAAATATTTAAATTTTTAATTAGCACAATCAAGTTCTTGAATTTACATTGATTTCCTAATCAAATCTCTCAAGCACCAATTTCGGTCAATTCAAGCTATCATGACTAGCGGACCACATCCAAGTATGGCATGAAAAACATTCCGATGAATTCAAGAACTTGATTGTGTTTCATTTGAAAAGTTCTTGACCTCACTTAGTATCCAACTCGCTTCCCAGATGACGAGTCAATACCTCTAGGTTGGACGTGGCATGTGGTATCGAAATTCTTCAGCATTATAGGCCATCGTATAGCGTGCAAAAAATGTCAAAAAAGCTTTCACCATGGTCCACAGGACGGGACATTCGTTGCTGAACAAACAGCCTCGTCGCAGTCAAGAGAGGTGTGTTCATGTCCAACAAGAGGGGATGTGCGCAGACCGGGACGGGCAAACGAAGTATAGCCATAGAATATCAAATTTTATTAGGTTTATTAGTAAACATACGTGTTTTATGTATCGCTTAAAGACAATCGATCTTTTATATTCGGAAACTTTATTTTGTGTAATTCTTGTCGCAGAAATTATAACAATTCGAGTATAAATAAAATTAGAACTTCCAATTAATTATTTTATTATCTTTTTGAAAAATTTAATTTATTGAGAGTTTTTATTTATAAAAGAACCCAAAATAACAAGACGTGTAGGGCTTTACCGCCTCAATCCGTCAAATAAAAGTGGAAGAATTTCGGGTGATTCCATAGTTTGCAGGAGGCACCGTACCTCTTGAGTTTATAAGCACCGAATCAAAAAAGAAATGGTTAATATTACGAAAAACGCTAAATTGATATAATTATGACAAATTTACTTTAAACTAATTTTTTGATCCCAAACTAGTACATTTGTGATAAATTTACCCTCCGTTAGTTTCTGTTAAATTTTACTGTCAAATTGCTGAGTTTGATAACATGTGATAGTTGACGGGTATATCAATTTAGGATTGTCATAGATGTAGCCGTTTGTGATTTTTCATGATATTAATTCAATTTAACGGAAACTAACGGGGGTAAATTTATCGTAAATGTATCAGTTTCAGTGGTCAAAAAATTAATTCGAGGTAAATTTGTCACAGATGTACCATTTTGGGATTTTCGTGGTATTAACCCAAAAATAAAAGATGATAACTCTTTAGATTCATATTGGTTGAACGATTGAGACTTATGGCATTTTAACTTAATTAATGTAGGATTAATAAGTAACCAAGAATTTCATTGGCTATTTGTAGGGGTGTGCAAAGAAAATGGGAATTGCGTCAGACCGCCCGGAACCGGATCGGACCTGTCCGAAACCGACGATTCCCGTGAGGACCGGTCCAGTTCTCGATTTTAATTTACTAGAACCGGTGAGTACCAGTCCGATGCTTGGTTCTAGGTGTGGAATCGCCCACCCGCCCACCCGGACCGGATTGGTAATGTATGTGTGTGTATATATATATATATATAATTTTTTAAAAAAAATTTCAACCCAAAAAAAAAGGAAAACATTTTTAGAAAAATGAAAACCATAAAATCCCTAATATAAAGCTCGACTTTCAACTCTCATCAACTCAAGACCGTGCCTTTAGCCATTCATCGCCTCTCTTTCTCACTCTCGATCACCTCCATTTGTGTGAAACTTGGTAGGACCGGTTCCGTGGACCCACCCGAGAACTCGACTAGACAGGCGATCCGGTTCCCAAGTGAATCCATAAATCAATGGTCGGTTTTCAATTTCAATTTTTCAGAATCGGTCCTTAGTAGGCGATTTCCAATTTCATAACGAAAACCGCATGACCGGACCACGATCACTACTAGCTATTTGACCTCTATGGAACATTTTAGGTGGCTAGTGGTGGAAAATGGTTAGAGAGAAGGGACCCACAAACCCGCACAAGTTGGAAAAAAAGACGACTACTTTAGAAATTGCAAAAATAAAGACAAAACTTTACACATCAAAGTGAAAACTTTACACGTCAAGGTGCTCTCTCTCTCTCTCTCCGGAAGCTGAATTGGACTGACCATTTCTCTCAGTAGGTATAAGCTTTGATTCTTCACTGCTGTGAGTTCTGCTTTTGATGGAACATGCCTCCTCTTTGAATGAAGGGAATTGAAGAGTTTCGGTTGACTACCGATTCTTGTCTCTGTTTTCTCGGATTCCTCTGTTTCTTGTGGATTCTTGGTGTACCCACACGGTGAGTTTCTGGGTCCTGAGCTATGAAGTCTGCTTCTCTTTGCTGGGTTTCATCGCCCGTTGTCAATAAATGATTTCTTTCTGGACACCGTTTCTGATAGAAGTAGGAGGTTATGGTCGTTTCGTATCTACAGCTTTTCCGTGATCAAAGTCTTGGGTGATTGGATTGGTTGCATTATAACTTTTGGGAACGTGGCTTCACCTTAATAACGTTGTATTCTGTAACATCTTTAAGACCCATGTGAGAGCTCCTCTCTTTGAGGATGGACAAGTCTTGTATCTGCACTGAATTTTGAAGACCCTTTTACTGGTCTGAAACACGGTCTTATATGGAACTTAACGGATTCACTCCACTTCTAAGTCGCTAAATTCTTGTTATGGGCTTTCATTTTTTTGGTCTAGAGGCCAAGATTTATCAAATAGAGCTAGTTTGTTCTCGCTTTTCATCGGTGTATTGAAGTCTCACATTGACAGCTTCAGGTCTAAATATGTGGTTTACTGCTACAGGAAAACTGAAATATCATGGAGTGGTTAACACATATATTTGAAGGTCCTAGCCACGCAGGACAATATCATGGATATAATGAGGATGATAGATATTGGAACCACCAGCATGCTTCCGTGGTATTACCAATTTTCGCCCATTTGTTGTATACTTGCTCCGACAAATTTCCATTCTGTATAAAAGCAGTGGATGGTCCAATGAAGTACTTTATAGACGAAGCTATCTTCCAAAGAGACAAAATGCTGTGAACTCTTAGCAGTAACCAGCGGATTGTGTCCTTAATTTTCTCTTTAAAACTTCTCATCATATTCAAATAGTTGAGAAATTGGATGCAGGATGAGTTAACAGATCATGAGAGAGAAGAAATAGATTGTGCAATTGCCCTTTCCCTTTCGGAAGAAGATTGGAAAGGGAAAAATGTTATTGGTATGTCACCGAGCTGTAAGCATTTATCCTGAATCTTCATTTGAAATGCATAAACAGAGGTTGTAATGTCTTAACCGATGCGCTGACGGATCTATAATTGATATAGTGGGGAATTGCATGCCCTAGGAACAGAAATACTGAAGCAAATATGGACGAATGTCTTTAAGCTTTATTGATACTCTTTATTTGGTTTTGTCTTAGCCTCTTCTTTGGGATTGATGTTGATATCAACCTATTTTATCCCCTTTTATATCACTTTCAGGATTCGTAGGTGAAGGAACTGATGCTGTTAGAGTTAGAGTCTGCAATCAGGCTGTTGATGCTTTCAATGCTTGACCCTGATTAAGTCTAGTATTTGCAGTAGTTAGTTAGCAGTCTAAAAGAAATTAAAGAAGAGAAATGAAGAGGGATACTATGTTCACTTTTTAACCAGCCATAGTCATGCAACTCTTTTCTGCTATGTTGCTTCTATATAGAAGTAAAGTTTAATATAGTACAAGCGACTCCCATTTTTTGTCTACTTTTCTGAACAATTTATTCCTTCTCTAGATCATGAAAAAGATAGAGAACAAACTTCTAAAGCTCAATTGGAGGAAGCTGAAAAGCGTGCAAAAGCTCAATTGGAGGAAGATAGAAAGCATGCTCAGTTGGAGCAAGATGAACTACTTGCCAAAGCTCTTCAAGAAAGTTTGAATGTAGAATCTCCTACAAGACATGGTGGAAACCCATTTCAACCTTACCCCATTTCCCCTTTTTCTGGCTTGAGGTATATCTTTTCCTTTGTTGTTGTTATATCTTGTTTATCATTGACACATCAATTAAGGTTTGAATGGCTCAGTTAAAATTATTCTCATGAGGATAAATTCCTTCATGTTCAACTAACATTCAGCATACGAAGCTGATACATTATTTGTTGAATAGGTGCTTACTTTTTGTTAAAGTAATTGAATATTAAACCATGCCTTCATCTAACAGCTTCAACTTTTAAAACAGTTGGCAGTGGTCCCACAAAATCTCACATGGTATCAGAGCTTGAGTTCCTGAGTTCGAATCTTTCCAAGCCTCATTTGCCTCTCCAATTAAATATATCCATGCTTAGTACTAGGCAAAAAAACCAGACTAAGCGTGAGGGGGAAAGTTAAAATAATTAAATATTAAACCACGCCTTCATCTAACAGCTTAAGCTTTTAGAACAGTTGGCAGTGGTCCCACAAAATCTCATACTTTTATTATTTATTAAATTGCATTACCAAAATTCCTGGATGCACATATCCCCTTGGGCCTCCACTACTTCTACTTCTTTTTCCTGACAGATCAACTGATCAGCACATGTCAGCTTGTTAGATTCACATCTACACTTTTTGATAAACATTTCACATCTACACTTTGTGCATCACTTATTGCTGAAATATCAAGAAATGAAGAATTTTTTTCCATGGAGGCTTGTAGTAAGAGGAGTAACTTGGGCTTTGATATTGGCTGGAAACTGTAGGACTCTGCTGTATGGTTCACAGAGACTAGCTGAGTTTCCAATCAGCATTGGGAAAATAATTACATGTGTGGTTCATTTGGGCAATCCAGTTCTAATTTAAGGGTTGATTGGCATGTTTTGTGAGCTACAGTCAGTTGCTGTTATTTCAACGGATGAACCAAGAGTTGCACAAATAGATATCGAGTTGTCAAACCTGAAGAAGAAAATATGGGTAGCCTCTGTTAGAGAAAATGCTACCATAATAGATAAAGCACCTCGTCTGATACTGGCAATACCTTAAATTCTCAACAATTGTGCCAGCAGAAAATACATTTTTATTGCACTGACATATCACTTGTAATATTTTACCATACAATTTTGGCTTGAAAATGATTTCGTTTGCAATATGTGAATTCATACATTAATAAGCTAAATTTACCACATTGGATCTTTCAGAATTTGCGCAGGTTGCAACGGTAGGATTGGTTTGGAGCGATTCCTGAGTTGCATGGGTGCTGTTTGGCATCCAGAATGCTTTTGCTGTCATGCATGTGGTCTTCCAATTACCAATCCTGAGGTATAATCCTATGTTCATTAAAAGTTGTGGTTAAGGTTTGGTCTGCTAATTTTGTACTTATGCATTGGACTTTGTAATAAATAGTCAAAGATTGATAGATCACCATCTTTTGCTAGTTTTCACTCTCAGGAAAACGCCCTTATCACAAATCATGCTACAAGGAGCATCATCATCCTAGATGTGATGTATGCAAGAATCATGTAAGTGATTTCTGAGTAAGTAGGAGGTGCTTGATTAAGTTGTTCAGAGTTTCTTTTCTTTTTCTGTTTTGACTTTTGCAAGCAACCATATAATTTTAGTGGCCATCACGTGTGGTTTAGACTTTCTATGGAGCAAGACAAGTTTTCTTTGTGTCAGAATTTCACTCCAAAGACTAGGTTTCAGCACATTTTATCATCAAAATAACCACTAAAGCAGAAGCCTCTGGTTTTATAGCATGTTGTATGTGATTATTTTTATTTTTTTTTTGCTTTGATAATTAAACACAAAGACTGGTGAGTTGACTGCTGCAGTTATTTTTTAAAAGTAAAGTTTATTAGTTGAACAATTCATGGCGACTCCTTACCAAAAAAAAAAAAAAAAAACAATTCATGGCGACTGAGAACTCTTCCTTGGGAGTCTTTAGTAGATTATGTTTCTATTCTACACTTCACGCATTTCTTTCATGGGGAATCAGGCCAAGAAAGTATTAGTCCTATGATCAATATTGCTGAACAATCTTTGCATGACTTCTTTCATACAGTTTTTAATTTATGTTGCTAATAATTATAATAGACTAGAAGTTTGAAATTTACAGAGGACCAGCACTTGTTTTCTGGAAATTCCATTAATATGATTTTCAGAGGCACTGTAAATGCTTACTGACGGCAGTCTTATCAGAAATTTCGCTTAATGTCTACTTGTTGTATCGTTTAAGTGGCTGTTGGTCCAAATCCTGGTTGGACTGCGTTTGTCTGTGATGGGACCGGTGGAAAACTTGGTCTGGTCAGTAGTTAATAGAGTATCCTTTAAGGTAATTTGGACATGCTTACATGCTTCAACAGAACGTGCACAAAGATTATGGAAATATGGCGTGAAAGAGGCAGGGGATGACATGAACGTGAAACTCAAGGAAAGATCTCGTGTACTTGAATATTAGGAGGATCTGGTTTAGGATAGAGCACGACTGGATAATGGGATCGGTTTAGGATGTAGCCGATCCCACTTAGTAGGGAGTGCTTTCTTGTTGTTATTAAATTAAACTGGATGTTATTGGTTGGATCGCAGACCTATCCTGCCACCTGGTTGATGATCTAGAGTTTTTAGTCGAGCCAGTTTTTAGGAAGATTCCTGTGATGTATAGCTTATTTTCAAGAAGTTTAAGATATCATCTCCTTTCTGTTATTTATGTCATTTTCTTGCTTCATAATTGCTGCTTATGGATGAAATGACCTCACTGCTTCATTTCCTGTACAGATCCCGAGAAACAGAGCAGGTCGCATTGAGTATAGGGCGCATCCTTTCTGGATGCAAAAGTATTGCCCATCCCACGAGCGAGATGGGACTTCGAGATGTTGTAGCTGTGAAAGATTGGAGGTGATTTTCAGCTAATCAATACCCTCATTTGCTAGCTAGATGAATTGTGGACTGTTCACTAGTTACTATAAAGCACCTTTTGCCAGCATCATTACTGAAGAAAAGCACCCAATGTTGTAGCCAAGAGACAAAGAATACTTGTCATTGGATGATGGCCGACGGCTGTGTCTGGAGTGTCTAGACTCTGCAATTATGGATACACATGAATGTCAACCTCTTTATCTTGCTATACGAGAATTCTACGAAGGTCTGAACATGAAAGTGGACCAGCAGATTCCTTTGCTCTTAGTGGAGAGACAGGCGCTCAATGAAGCAATGGAAGGTGAAAAAAATGTAAGAACTAACGTAGTTTTATCTGGGTCCATGTTATCCCAAAGATTAGATTTTATCTCTTTATCTGTTTATCTAACTTTTTCTTTTTGGCCTTCTGAAACCTTCACTCCGAAAGGATCATCATCACATGCCTGAGACTAGAGGACTTTGCTTGTCAGAAGAACAGTGTGTTACAACTGTATGAAGCCTTTTCCCTTAAGTTGCTACGTTGTGAGATCATCATTTTTGTAAGTTAACGATGCATTAACAAAATGAAGATTTTGAGATCCTTCTTCACTTGACGACAGGTTATGCGGAGGCCGAGAATCGGAGCAGGCTTCCAATTGATGATGATAACTGAACCTTACAAGCTAGTCCGTTCGTGTGAAGTGACAGCAATCCTCATTTTGTTTGGTCTCCCTAGGTAGCATGAGTTCTTTGCTGTAAGCCGTGGTTATTCTGTATGATCATCATAGGCAATGGCTGACAATGTTCAGAAATACAGATTGTTGACAGGGTCAATTCTTGCTCATGAGATGATGCACGCATGGCTTCGACTCAAAGGTTGGTCTTTTGTGTCCTGTGATGACTATTGCGATTTATACATGCACATTACAAACATTTGTATTAACTACGCATCGATACGGTTTAATGCAAAAAAGTGGGATCCATATCACATTCTTCTTATTTGGGATTTTAGACAGAGAACTAAGGTAGGTAATTTTCAGGGTTCCCTAACCTAAGTCCGGAGGTTGAAGAAGGCATTTGTCAAGTATTGGCTCGTATGTGGTTGGATTCCGAGATGTATTCCGGCTCTGCGAATGATGTCGCATCGTCTTCGTCATCGTCTCCATCTTCTTCATCAAAGAAGGGCAAACGGCCAGACTTTGAGAAGCAACTTGGTGAGTTCTTTAAGAATCAAATAGAGTCTGATACTTCAATGGCCTATGGAGAAGGATTCAGGTTAGCAAATAAGTCAGTGGAAAAGTATGGTCTTAAGAGAACACTCGATCACATCCAAATGAGAGGGAGCTTTCCGCTCTGATCACATCTGTGGACACACTAATGTTCAATGTCAATTCACCTTAAATTATATGACAGGACCAAAAAACCACGTGTAAGTTGCTATAGACATGAGCAATAAACTTTTGCTTGTTATTTATCTACCAGCTGTTGTAATCAGCAATATGCTAAAACCATGATACTATACGCGATATGGATATGAATTGAATCAAGCTCCAAAGTCCAAACTTGAATATTTTTCCTATATTGCATACCTGTGCTACTGTTAATTTGTTGGGTGTAATTTTACGGTTGATAGTGGTGTATAAGAATTTTTAATTGAGTACATTCAATTTGTGCTAGGTTTGCAGCAATTTACTTGCATACTGTGAGTAAAATAAGGGAAAATATCATAGACAATTCACAGTATGCAATTTAATTGCATACTGTGAATTAAAGCTTCAGCAAAGACGTTTTGGTTCCGTTCATAGTAAGATTAGAAGGCCTTAATTAGAATTTGGTGGAATTATCTTCCAATTAAGATGGGAGAGCCAACAAGTACCCTTTGTATTGAATGGACACCATCGTAGACAATATCACTTCATGAAAGTCACTTTTGGCAGATCCTTTGATATGATTATTACAAACTAGCCGAATGAAAGATTGTTTTCTATTCTTCGGAAAGCTGTCAATCTTTTATGTAGTGAGGTGATGAAAATTATGATATTGTAGAAAAATTCATGATTCTTCGACCCGTGCACTGCTGCAACGAACGCGTTAAGTATTTCTCATCAGAAGTATCTTTTTCAAGACTGAAACTCTAGGATTCTGGGTCGGCACAAGTAGTGGAGCAGCTATGTGGTTTAATTCAATGCAAAGCGAAGAACCAAATCAAGTCAACTCATGCGGATGATCTACTTGAAAGAAAGGTGTGGCTTTGGGAATGTAGGCAGGGGTGGTGCTCTGTCCAATCTTGTCGTCACGAATCGGGTTTAGTCCTGCAACAAGCGTGCCCTTCATTCAGTTGCCACCATCGTGTTTGGAACCGTGAACAGCCTTCGATGATAGGCTGAACCCTTCATTCAGTTGCCACCATCGTGTTTGGAACCGTGAACAGCCTTCGATGATAGGCCGAAAGAAGATGAGGATGACATCGAGCTGTCGTATGCCTCATATGTTACGTGAAAACTTGCGATACCGGCCGGTGCAATGGATCATAATCCGGCGAGGCTGAGTTTGATCCAAAAGCTCTTCCTCTGTCCAGAGTGCTGGGTGCAACTAGTTTGCATTTGCATTAAGCAAATGAATGCGAACATGTTGTGATTGAACGATCTTCTTAAGAAAAATTGAGTCGATCGCTAACTATAGAATTTTTTCGATGTCATCGATAAATAAGACCAGTTCACAGGAACGGATCCAGAGTTGTAAGAAAAAGGAAAGAAAAACAGATTAACCTTAAACATAAAACAAATTAAGAAAACTAATAAGGGAAATTAAACTCCTTTTTGAATTGTTATATGTGTATCAGTAAACATTTTAGTACAACTCATTGATTTGTATTCCTTCATGATACTTTCATCCGCCAGTCATTCTTGTTATAGGAATAACCGTAATGAAAATTATCATAATGAAAATTATCGAAGAAAATGTACAATATAATCATGAATATGATCATTCTTTTTTTGGTTTTTAATGGGATTACTATTAAATTTACCACTAGTTAAAAAATTATATTCACGCATTCACTCTTAGATGAGTGACATACATACGTGTTTGAAATTAGTCTTGTAACTAAATTCTCTTGTGTGCCAATCATCTAGGATGAATGTGTAAATTGTGCTTTACCGACGGTGGATTTTAAAAAGAACTGTTTTTAATATAGCATGTCATGTTTATACTCACCTAGTGAAAACTTTTTACATTTTTTTTTCTAAGATGACCATAGTTTGGGAAAATTTTGGATTTTTTTTAACCTAGTTTAGTTAAGATTTTGTGTAAAATTAGGATTCGGATCAAAACAACGTCGTTTTAGTGCTTTCATTAACCTTAATGCCACGTGGGAAAGATAAAATATTAAAAAAAAAACACGTCAATATTTTTCGTTAGTAAAATTGGACGATCAATATTTTCTGTTAGTTAAATTGGACGGAGTTAACAAAAAAAACTCTATTTTCACACAAAATTGAGTCTTGGGCGAGGGCCTACAAGCCCTCCCCGGCCACCGGCGAGGGTTGCCTCGCCTAGGTCCTCGCAGGTCATGAGCGAGGCAATCCCCACCTAGATCTAGCGAGGGTTGACCTTGTCTATGGCTAGCAAGGGTCGCCTAGGCAAAGTCGGCACTCGCCTATAGCTTTCGAGGGCGACCTTGCCCAGCCCTCTCTGGGTTTCGTCGGTGGCCGGCCATCACCTAAGACTAGCCACAGGTGAAAAGAAAAGAAAAAAAAATCAGAAAAAAGAAAAAAGAAAGGAAAAGAAGGAAAGACATCAAAAAAATAAAGGACAAAAATGCCATTGACTAGCTAGCGAGGTTAGACCCTTCTTTGAGACTGACATAACTACTTCATGCCGTTATTTGAAACAAGATATACTCCATGCTCTTATTAAAAAAAAAATAGGGCACTTCATGTCTTTATTTAAAATAAAGTTCATTTTAGATCATTATTTAAGACAACAATGGCACTTCAGGCTTTATTTAGAACTTTCCTTGTGATTTTTTTTCTCTTTTTTTTTTCTTTTTATTGCTTCTGTAACCATAGTCCAATGACATGCGGTTCCTTCTTCTTCAATATCTCACTGTGCTTGGAATAATATATCTGTGGGTCCATCCAAAACCTAATAATGACACTAAAAACTAGACTACCTTTATGAGTCCAACAAGGATGTTAATGAGCAGGTCACGGGTGTCTAGATTAGAATTATGAGTCCGACAGGGATGTCAATGAGTATGTTGAAAATGTCATTCCACTCGTGTGGTGGTCGAGATGGTTTTAGTACTTTAACAGATCTTCGTGATTAACTCTCTGCATGTTTTGTATCCCTCAGGACACACGCGTGATATTTTCGATCGAGCTTTGCAAATTTACGAGTGTAGTATATGTGCTGAACGGAATCTGTACTATTAAAGCGGGTGAATTCCGTGTGGGCATCTCACCTGATCTTATGGTCCAAGTTTAATCATTGCTGAATCATTTGTCATCGAGTGCAGATACAAATGTAAGGCTATTAGTATCATAGTTCGTTGTCTAATAATTGGTGTTTTAAGGAGCAATTAGGGATGAGAAATTGGTTTGGCGACTCGTTTCTGGGCCAATTCTTGCTTCCACGACCAGATAGTTCTTGATTCCAAGGTCAGAAAACGTCAATTGCTGGGTCGAACCGATTCTCATCCTTAATTTTATGGTAACAATATTGTACTGAAAAAGATTTAATCCATGATTGTAATATGGACAAATACCCACATAAACAATTTAACCTAAGTAGGATTTGTGTTTAATGGACATATTTCTTATAATTTATATAAGGTAAAACATTTTTATATTTAACAAAGAAGAAAATCAATCATTTTCCGATAAAACTCGGAACTAGCCTGGAACCAACTAGCTAACTTGGTTTCTCGTTCCAATGTTAGCTTAGGAACCTAAACCTCATTTATGATTGGTTCGGTTCTTGATTCTAACTAGGAATTAACCCACTTAGAAACCGGTCACTCTAAACAACAATTAATATGTTTAATTTATGTCTTAGTGAAATATAAGGAAACATTAGGTGCATTGGTTGGTACACCCATGCACTCCTTGCCCTTAGGATGATACGTGAGAGGTGATGAGATCCTCTATCATATCGGTGTATTCGTTTGGTGTCCCGTCCATCCAAATCATTAAAATATCTGTCAATCAGGAAAATCACCTCTTGAGTGTCGTCCTTGCTCAAAATCACCTTGATGCAGCATAAGCAATCTTTCTTCGGCCCCGATCGCAGTCTCGATCGCCTCGGTGAGTTCCTGCTCGCAACTGACCCGCAAGACAGAGAGCAAGAGATTTTTCATTCTTTCCGTTTCCGTGATCTCCGATCGATGTGGTATGGGAAACGGAATGAGGGCGTAACCACGGACGTTGGCAAACTCAACAAAGGCATCTACTGCTAGTAATAAAAGATAGGGATGTCTAATTCCTCTGTCAAATCAAAGATACGATTAATTGTATATCGAGAATTGTTACTTGTATGTTAACCCAATAAAAGATGAGAAATGCATAATTTTCCTATACGGTGTAACGGGGTTTCTACAAGACATCGGGAATAGATCCTTGGAAACATCTTGGTTATCGGATGAAAATGCGAGTATATGTCAACTGTCAGAGGTAAATCATTGAAAAATTCCGTATTACGACACTTTATATAGGAGTTACGGCAAAATACATAGTGACCACGATCGAGAACCTTAGAAGCTCCCATAGTGTAATATTCCTCTGCCTTTCACATTTTTTTAATTATTTTAATTAGTGCCCTAAGAGTTGAGCCTTTAGTATGGACATAAGGCTTTTTGCACCTCTTGGGCAGAATTTTGCCCCTCTTTCAACATGCTATGATTACGACTCGCTTAGGAATAACAAAAGGGCTTGTAATGGAATTTAGCGGTAAAAGTTTGAGGTTGAAATCTCCATCAGATTTGCCTTATCACGTAGAGAATATAAATTATCTAAACTAAGGAGATAAACAAATAAAGAGAAATATGCAAATGCTTTGCAAGTATGTTACTGAATTCTATGGAAGATAATTGTCATCTCACAAAAAAGTGCACATAATTGAAACGACAAACTCATTAGCTTTAGACCAGTGGTGTGGAGTTACATGGTGGAAAATGATTAGAAGGTGAGGACCCACTTTTCACAAAAGAAGAAACGGGCATTCAAGAAGTCCACACCCAAGTCAAGTTGCTCGTCACTTTACTATCTAATAAGCTCCCTCCTTCTCTTGACTGATCAAGGTATGTAGATGACATACTGTCATGCATGGCCACCAGTTTATTGATCTTTGATATTTGTATATATCTTACCGTCTTGGCTTGGGTTCACACAGAATTTGATGACAGGAAAAGACAGAATTTTGCTGAGAGACTGATTTATGCTTCTGTTTTTTTCCCTTTCTTTTGTCGGTATCCTCTGTTCTTGTAGATTCATGTTTGATTACTGGTGAGTTTCTTAGATGCACTGTGTTCTTTCTGTCTATACACTCGGAGAACTGTCAATAATTGGTTTAATTATGGCAATCTGAATGCAGTGTTCTGACCATTTTGTGATCCATGTCTAGTAAGAAGTGTACTTCTTGATTTCTTATCTATACCACTACAGAGCTATAGAAACTTCATTCCTTACTGTGCTTTTTTCTCTTTTAGTTTGTCATTCGTCTAAAAGCTGAATTATGATCACCCTTTTGTTGATGTGGAAGAAGCTCAGCTAATTATGAAATTTAGAGACAAAATAGAAAATCACTCTCCTAATTTCCTTGAGACTTGTCATGGTGGTGCTTCAGAAGGGCATTTTGTGGTCTAGAAGGCGACATTTATCGAACTAAGCTACTTTTTGTTGATCTAATTATTTTCATCCATTTCAACCTGCTCAATAATATTACTGTGGGCCTGTGGCTCGCTATAAACGAAACCGCCTTTGCAAATTTTCAAGTCATTCATGATATAGGACATCCAAAATGCACATAAAATCTTAATTTCCTGTTCGTTACCTGTTAGTCAAGTGCATGGTCTTAGGTCTTGTGGGTTCTAGCTTCTTTTCCTTCATCCAAAGTGATATAGAATGTGGATACTGAATAGAGCTCGTTTACGATTCATCTAGTCAGTTTATGAATCTTTTGTTCACCCTCAGTATCCTTTCTTGTAAAGGTCCTCATCTCTTTTTCTCAATATATATTATCTTGAACTTTTACCCTCTATCAATGTATGTAATTCTATTCCACTAATGCCTTAAAACCTAGCAGTTTTTTCTTTGGTCGAATTACACCTAGCAGTTGATCTACTACCTTAGGAGTTATCTTGGGACCGCTGAGGCAGCTTTGACATGCCTCTATTATAATTAGATGTTTGTTCTTCGGTTCACCGGAAGCACTTGCTAAAATTTTGTCTACACGGCTTCCAGTCTTTACTATAAGTGCTGACTGCAATTGCAGAGCAACATTTTGCTTCATGGAGAAATTCTCCCGGACACTTGACGGTCTTGGCCATGGGGGACCATATCAGCAAAATTATATGGTATTAACGGTTTTTTGTAAATTTTTCTTGTAATTTAACTCAAATTGGAAATCGTACATTTCCGTCACCCATTGATTGGAGAAAAACAGGGACTGACGGAATCATATTCTTCATTCAAAGCTCATTTTCTGAAGAGAGGGAATGTCATAAATCCTCATTAGCTTGTGGTTTGTGTCCTTAATTTTCTTTTAAGGCACCTTCTCATCACATTTACATGATTGAGAATTTGGATGCAGGATGAGTCAATGGACTATGAGAGGGAGGAAACAGATCATGCAATTGCCCTTTCGCTTGCAGAAGAAGATCAGAATGGAAAAAATTTCATTGGTACGTCAACAAACTGTAAGCTTTTATGATGATATCCAATGGAATGCGTACCCAGTGATTCTTGTCTCTTCAATAATACGGTGAATGAGTGAAGCGTGTGTAAGAATGTCTTCAAGCTTGTTCCCACTCTCCATTTGATTTTGTATAAGCTCTTCTATGTTGAAGAGATTTACCCTCATCAGAGCACTTTTAGGCTATCTAGTGTTGCTGGAGTTGCAGTTGCCAATAGTTGAATCTGTTCCCCGTTTTGCACCATAACCATTTCATGCTTTTCTTTCTGCTAGCAATGCACTTCATTATATGTTTAAAAGTTAAATATATAACGTTTATAATTGAGTGGTTCCCGTAATTTGTCAGTTATGGGCATCTATCCTTCAGTTATGCAATTTTTCCAATGACAAGGGACCATCTACTCATTGACTGCTCTTTCTCTAAAGCTATATGGACATCTATTCTTAAGTTATGCAATTTTTCTAGAATGCCTGGCTTGTGGGAAGAAGATTTGGACTGGTCATCACCTCTTTTTAAGGCAAATCCTCCGGTTGTTTTTTGTATAAGCTAGCTTGGAATGCCTTTGATTATCTTATATGGAGAGCTAGGAGTAACAGAATCCATAAATCTCACAGCTATTCAGTCTGTGAGGTTAGTCATGATATCAAATGTGATGTGAGACATAGATTGTCTATGGAAAGTAAACTTGCTGTTTGTTCTAGTGCTCATAAATCTCTTCATTCGTATTGGGGGACCATTGCTAGTAGTTTTCTGTGAGGGCTTGTATGCAGGATCGGTCCACCTTCTAGTGTCTGTGCTGCAACAATTATTTCTTCCTTATCAAACCAAAATGTTACACATATGTAATTGAGTGATTCCGTTATTTGTCTGTTAAATATTTCTCTGAATGATAAATATCAATCCAAATACGAACAAGCTTCTAAAGCTCAGCAAGAAAAAGATAAATGTCATTCTACAGCTCAATCGGAGGACGATGAACTACTGGCAAAAGCTCTCCAAGAAAGTTTATATGTAGAAGATCCATCTAGTCATGGTAATGGAAAATCATTTCAACCTCATCGGATTTCATCTTCGGGCTCGAGGTATATTCAGCTCTTGAGCTTTCTTGTCTCAGGTTATCATTGACGTGTTGGTCCTTCCCATCTTTTGAGAGGTTTATATTATCTCTGTTTCTGCTACCAATTTACTTCATTATATGTTTAAAAGTTACATGTATAAAGTCTACATATATAATTGAGTGGTTCCCACAATGTGTCTGTTATTGGCATATATCCTTCAGTTGTGCAATATACACAATGACAAGGGACCATCTACTTATTGACTGCTCTTTCTCTAAAGCTATATGGGCATCTATCCTTCAGTCATGCAAATTTCCAGAATGCCTGGCTCATGGGAAGAAGATTTGGAGTGGTCATCAGCTCTTTTCAAAGGCAAATCCTCTGGCCATATATTTTATAAGCTAGCTTGCAATGTCTTTCACTATCATACATTGAGAGCTAGGAATTATAGGATCCATAAATCACATAGCTATTCAGTCTGTGAGATTACTCATGCTACCAAATATCATGTGAGATTTAGATTGTCAAAGGAAAGTAAACTTGCAGTTTGTTTCAGTGCTCACAAATCTCTTTGTTCTTGGGGGATTCCTTGCTAGTGGTTTTCTGGGAGGGCTTGTATGCAGGATCAATCCCCCTTCTAGTGTGTCTGTTGCAACAATAATTATTTACTTGTCAATAAAATAAAGTTTACACAGATAATTGAGTGATTCCATAATTCGTCTGTTAAATCTTTCTCTAGATGATGAATATCAATCCAAATACAAACAAGCTTCTAAAGCCCTGCTAGAAATAGACAAACTTCATGCTAAAGCTCAGTTGGTGGAGGATGAACTACTGGCCATAGCTCTCCAAAAAAGTTTAAATGTAGAAGAAGATCGATCTAGACACAGCAATGGAAATTCACTTCAAATTCATCCAGTTTCATCTTCAGGCTCGAGGTATATTCAGCTGTTGAGCTTTCTCGTCTCAGGTTATTTTTGACATGTCAGTCCAATCTCCATTCATTTTGAGAGGTTTCTAGTATCTATCTTTTTTAACAGTTTAACGCTTCTATTATTGCTGAGATATCAAAAAGGATATGAGATAATACAACGTTCAAGTCTTGAGATGGAAGGTGGAAGTTTGTAAAATAGAGTGGCTTTAGCTTTGATACTGACCGGAAGATGTAGGATTCCTCTGTAACGTCTATTTTCCTGTGATTTATTGTGTAGTTGGAGAGAAGTTTCGGTCATGCATAAAAATGTGATGAAGCTGATATTTTATGTAGATATAACAGGTCAGGCATAGAATAGAGAGAGAGTGACATTTAACTAGTGTATGTCAAGGTGCTGATTTTCCAGTATGAAGGCAATACAAATGTGGCTGACGAATCCAGTTCCAATTTAGGGGGCCAATGATTCTTAGATTGGTAAATTCGTATTATAGTAAAGTGGAGAACAAGTTGCTGGAATAGGTGTTGACATTTGGTGAATCTCAACCCGTTGTACTGAAGCTATATCTTTGAGAAATTATTTGCATATCAACTTGCCAGTACCATATAAGTCCTTACCTGCTCCGCTGGCAGAGAACGCATGATTAGTGTAACAGTACTTCACCTGCATATTTTACGTGACGTTTTCATGTTGCAACTAAGGTTCCATTTCTTAATGGACTCATTTCGCAATTGGGTTAACTTACAACATCAATTATTCAGAATCTGTGCTGGTTGCAAGAGTCAGATTGGTCCTGAATATTTCAAGAGTTATATGGGTGCTGATTGGCATCCGGAATGCTTTCGCTGCCACGCATGTGATCTTCCAATTGAAGATCTCAAGGTAAACTCTATGTTCGCTTAACTTCTGATTAAGGTTTGGCCTATTAGCTTTTCAAATATATTACTTTTTATAGTACATAACGAATGATTGATATATTACTCTCTTGTAGATTTCAGAGTCCGGGGACCACCTCTATCATGAATCATGCTACAAAGAACACCATCATCTAAGATGTGACGTTTGCAAGAATTATGTAAGTGCTTTCTCATTGACTTGGGTGCTGTGTCAAATGGCTGTTTAAATAGGCTTATCGAGTGGAAGTCCCAAGCTACAAAAAAGTGTCATCCTCCATATAAAGTTCAAACTGCAAAACCATAAGACAGTCCGACAGTTTGACTTTGATAAAAACATAAAAGGGAATTGATTTAAAGGGTGTTTGAGAACATTTTTTGCAGTCTTTACTGTTTTACGAGACTTACGAAGCAAAGGAAGTGAAAGCCATAACAGCAAAAAACTAATTCAAAGAAATAGTTCAGAGTACTCTAGGAGCTTTTCCCAATGTAGCTTTTCTATGCGGATGTTTATCTCAATTAATAATCTTAAGTGAAAAAATCATGTTAGGAAACTCATATTCACTCCAGAGTGAAAAAATCATGTTAGGAAACTCATATTCACTCCAGAATAAAATAATTTGCTCCCAAGACACATAATTACTTATCGTAATACTTAGTTACAGCACTTCACGGCACTTGAAACACCAGAGTTGCGGTACCAAAGTTATAGAAACATCGTGTACCAAACAGACTCATAGCCATCTGCTGTTTTGGTTGATGATCTAGCTGATAAGTCAGATTCTTTCAATATTCTCATAATGCAAATGCTATTATGACAACTCTACAATGATTTCCATTTTTCCTAAGTGCAGTATCCCTGTCATTTAATTGCTACTTCTAGAATGAAATGGTCGGTTCCTTTTGCTTCATGTAGCTGCCAGTAAACAATGAAGGATTCGAGTACTCGGTTCATCGTTTCTGGATGCAAACATATTGCCAAATACATGAGCAAGATGGGACTCCAATCTGTTGTAGTTGTGAGAGGATGGAAGTGAGTTCCAATTTATAAACATCCTGCTTTGCTTGCTGGTCGAACTGTAGGACAAATTTTCGAGAGTATGGAGAACTTTTCAATTTCCCAGCATCGTTCCTGATGAAAAAATGTTAAATCTGTGTAGCCAAGAGACAAGAGATACTCGTCGCTGGATGATGGTCGAAAGCTATGTCAAGGGTGTCAAGACTCTGCGATTATGAATACCAATGCGTGTCAACCTCTTTATCTGGAAATACAAGGATTCTATCATCGTATGAATATGAAAGTGGAAGAGCAGATTCCTCTACTCTTGGAGGCAAGACAAGAGCTGAATGATGCAATAGATGGAGAAACGAATGTAAGTACAGATGCAACTCTCATTTTGGTCAATACGGTCCCAGATATCATCATTTCGTTTCTTGTGTTTTTTCCCTTTGTTTTTTTGGTTTTTATACTCACTTGAAACTTGAAAAGGGACATCATCACTCACATGAAACTAGAGGACTATGCGTAAGGGAAGGACGGAATGTTCCCAATGTAAGAAAAGCTCTTGCTCATAGTTGCTAGATAGGGCTATCATCATATTTGTACATTGTGACTGTATTTGATGAAACAAAGAATTCAGAATGCCTTTTGAATAATCCACCAGGCTACCCGAAGGCCAAGAATTGGAGTAAACCACCAAATTACCGATATGGTAACTGAACCTTATAAGCCGGTTCATGCAATCCTCATTTTGTATGGTCTCCCTAGGTAATGTGACTGCAGCACATCTCAGTTATTCTTCTGTGTGATCATTGACTGTGGCTGACTATTATTGGGAAAACAGGCTGTTGACAGGTTCAGTCCTTGCTCATGAGATGATGCATGCTTGGCTTCAACTAGAAGGTTCATCTTTAATTGCCTGTGATATCTGCTAATAATTTTTCTTAATGTAATAGAAACAGCGTATTTGATAAAAATGTACAGAGATGTGGGCATAACTCATAAGAAGTCAATACTGCATTTGTTTTTCCTTTTCCTGTAAAATTTTTAAAGGGACAGAATTAATGTCGATATTTTTCAGGTTATCCTAACCTTAGTCCAGAGGTTGAAGAAGGCATTTGTCAAGTTTTGGCTCATATGTGGTTGAATTCTGAGATCAATTCAAGCCCCACAAATGATGTTTCCTCATCCTCATTGCCGTCATCTTCCTCTTCGTCAACAACATCGAAGAAGGCCAAATATTCTGACTTTGAGATACAACTTGGCAAGTACTTCAAGCATCAAATAGAGACTGAACCTTCAATGGCCTATGGAGAGGGATTCAGGTCAGGAAACAAGGCAGTGGAGGAGCATGGCCTTAGGAAAACTCTCGATCACATTCGACTGACGGGGACCTATCCACTGTGATTTATTAGGTGGCTGTCTGTGGAACTTTTGTTTTCAGTGGTTAGTCGCCATGCATTAGTGACTTAATACAGCACGAGCAAGAGCATCAGTAGATCTTATGAATATATCCGCGTTGAAATTTGCTTGACGATTATATGGCAGATGTCAGAACCAGAGGTATAGTACAGATATGATATTTTACTTATTGAAGTAACAGAAATGGTGTCCGTGGAAGTGAATATGTACATGCTTGTATGATTTTTTAGCTGTGTATTGTTGGGTTCATCATGAGTAACTGGTTGAAATGCCAATGTATCTCATCTTGCAGAGTTGCTGCATCAGTTCTTAAGGGATTAGCTTTTCTTCAAACAGTTCAGTTCCCACCTTTGGAGTGCCTAATAAGTTAATAACCAAGGACGGCATAAATCAGTTCATGATGAATCACCCAACTGTTGCAATGTCAGTTCTGCCGATGTAGAGTTTGAAGGATGACGAATAATCAAACTTCAGCACCTGCACACGATTTAGAGATTTAAGGAGTACGAGTAATTAAACTTCAGCATTTGCACACTTCAACCAATAACTGCTAATTCTTAACAAATCATAACTGGTGATCCAGAGAGTATCACTGCTTCTTCAACTACTACAAACTGCATAGTATTTCCTTCCCTTTTTCAGACAGTGTTGCAAGCAACCTCACCCTGAACCCCAAGCTGAGCCGATGCCCAGTTGGCCTCAGACTTAACACTCTTCTAAGTAGGCATAAGGTAATCTGCAAATATCGTAGATTGCCCAATTCGTTTGCAAAGAGTGTACAACAGGACAAAGAATTAAATTTCATGTGATTATTTGCCATTGGAGCTCTATCAGAACCAGCAGTTTCTTCAGGCCTTCTAGTTTGCATACGAGATATTTACACCCCCAATCATAATGCTCACTGTAAATGTCAAGAAGGCCTCCATAGTTATCGACGCAAGACATCAAATCTGCGGAAAAACTAGAGAAATTAATAATGATTATGTTTCATTTCTCTCTGTTGAGCGGTCTCTACATATAAATTCCACCAAACAGCAGAAAGAATGCTTGAAAAAATGTATAAAGCAAAGTCTGCTTTCTGCTACAGTGCGGCCGCTAGCTGAGTCGCTCTCTTCATTAATACAGCCAAGATGAAAGTCACTCTCGAGCAACACAGCATAGATCTGTTTTTTTCTTTCAAGCAAAGAGAAGCAGAGCACAAAGCCTCAGCAACAGGAAGAAATTGAGCTGATGTGCAGTGTAAAGGAGTTAATTTGCCTCTCACCAAACTGTAAAGCAGCAATGATGATCTTTGATGTGTGAAAAGCATAGAATAGTCATGCAACAAGTGTTTGATTAGCAATGATGATCTTTGATGTGTGAAAAGCATAGAATATCCTGAACTCCGCAACACCCTCGCTTGCGATCGGCAAAGGGTTTGGAAAAAAAGGGAGGAAAGAAAATTAAAAAAAAGAAAAAAGAAAAAAATAAAATTAATTAAAATTTTGGAAAAAATATTAAATTTTTATATAAAATTGTCCACGTCAGCATTGACCATGCCTCGTAGGGTGGCCGGCATCCAGGTCAACAATTTCCGGTCAAAATTGAAAATGTTTAGGACTGAATTGGCAAAAATGCAATATGTTTAGGATTTTTTGGATAATTTTCCCTAAAAATGTGAGTATATTGCACCCGTTAGACGTAAATCCTTTAAGTTTCTATATTACGACACTCTAGAGAGGAGTTATGCACATGGCTATGATCTAGAACCATAGAAGCTCCCACGGTGTAATATTCCTCTACCTTTCACATTTTTTTATTATTTCAATTAGTGCCCTAAGAGTTGAGCGCCCCCAATCAGTCCTTGGTTAAAAGAAAATAAGAAATCTCGATTTTATATGTTAGCTGCTTTGAATAGAATTTTACCCTCTTTTTATATGTTTCGATTATGACTCACTTAGTAATAAAAAAAAAAGGACTTTCGATGCTATTTCCTGGTAAATGTTGAGGGTCAAATCTCCGCTGGATTTGCTTTATCACGTAGAGAGGTAGACTATCTTGATTAAAGAGATGAACAAATAGAGAGATAGATGCAAATGCTTTGCAAGTATGTTACTAAATTCTGGGAAAGATAATTGTCATGCCACAAAAAGAGTGCACATGACTGCAAACGACAAACTCAGTAGCTTTTGACCAGTAGTGTGAAGTTCCATGGTGGAAGATGATTAGAAGGTGAGGACCCATTTTCCACCAAAGAAGAAATGGACACTTGAGAAGTCTACACTCAAGTCAAGTTGCTCTTCACTTTACTCTCTAGCAAGCTCACTTCTTCTATTGAATGATCAAGGTGTGTACGTTCATCACATAATGACATACATAGTCACCAGCTTATTGAAAATCATTCTCCTATTTGCCATAGTTTGGGAAAATTTTGGATTTTTTTAACCTGATTTAGTTAAGATTTTGTGTAAAAATTAGAATTCAGATCAAAACGATGTCGTTTTAGTGCTTTTATTATCCTTAATGCCACGTGAGACATCACGTGGGAGAGATAAAAAATTTAAAAAAACCATGTCAATATTTTCCGTTAATCAAATTGAACAGAGTTAACAAAAAAACTCGAATTTCACACAAAATCGAGTCGTCGTCAAGGGCTTGCAAGCCCTCACCGATTGCTGGCGAGGCTTCTCGCAGGCTGCTGGCGAGGGTCACCTTGCCTAGATCCTTGCTGGCCATAGGCAAGGCGATCATCACCTAGATATGGCGAGGGTTGGCCTTGCCTATGGGCAGCGAGGGTCTCCTAGGCAAAGTCGCCACTCGCCTGTGGCTTTCGAGGGAGGCCTTGCGTGGCCCTCTCTGGGTATTGCCAGTGGCTGGCCTTCATCTAAGATCGGCCACTGACGAAAAGAAAAGAAAAAAAAACATAAAAGAAAAAATAAAGGAAAAATAAATGGCGAAAATATCATTGATCAATCGATGAGGTCAAGCTTTTCTTTGAGACTGATATGGCCTCTTCAAGCCATTATTTGAAACAAGATCCACTATATGCCCTTATTTAAAAAAAAAGAAAGCATTTTAGGCCATTATTCAAAATAAAGTCCACTTCAAGCCCTTATTCGATAAAATGAGGGCACTTTAAGTCTCTGGAATTTTACCTTTAATTTTTTTTCTATGTTGTTTTCTTTTTATTGCTTCTGCAACCATAGTCCAATGACATGCCGTTCCTTCTTCTTTCAATATCTTGCTGTGCTTAGAATAACGTATCTATAGGTCCATCCAAAACCTAATAATGACACTAAAAACTATTCCACCTTTATGAGTCCAACAAGGATGTTAATGAGTAGGTCAGAAGTGTCTAGATTAGAATTATGAGTCCGACAGGGATGTTAATGAGTATGTTAAAAAAGTGATTCCACTCGTGTAGTGGTCGAGTTGGTTTTAGTACTTTAACATATCTTCGTGATTAACTCTTGGCGTGTTTTGTATCACCCAGGACATACGTATGCTATTTTTTTTATTGTGCCTTGCAAATTTACTACAAGTGTAGCATATCTGCTGAACTGAATCTGTACTATTAAAACGGGTGGATTCCATGGGGTCAAACGCGAATCTCACCTGATCTAACCGTCCAACTTTAATCATTATTGAATAATTTGTGGTCAGGTTTAGATTCAAATGTAAGGCGAGTAATAACAAAGTTCGTAGTCAAATAATTGGTGTTTTAAGGAGCAATTAGGGAGTAGAAATTGGTTTGGTTGACTCGTTTCTGGGCCAATTCTTGCTTCCACGACCAGATAGTTCTTGATTCCAAGGTCAGAAAACGTCAATTGCTGGGTCGAACCGATTCTCAACCTTAATTTTTTGGAAACAATATTGTACTGAAAAAGATTTAATCCATGATTTTAATATGGACAAATACCCACATAAACAATTTAACCTAAGTAGGATTTGTGTTTAATGGACATATTTCTTATAATTTATATAAGGTAAAACATTTTAATACTTAACAAAAAAGAAAATCAATCAATTTCCGATGAAACTCGGTACTAGCTTGGAACCAACTATAGCTAACTTGGTTTCTCGTTCTAATGTTAGCTTAGGAACCTAAACCTCATATATGATTGGTTCGGTTCTAGATTGTAATCAGGAATTAACCCACTTAGAGACCGGTCACTCTAAACAACAATTAATATGTTTAATTTATGTCTTAGTGAAATCTAAGGAAACATTAGGTGCATCGGTTGAGTACACCCATGCACTCCTTGCCCTTAGGATAATATGTGAGAGGGGATGAGATCCTCTGTCACGTCGGTGTATTCGTTTGGTGTCCCGTCCATCCAAATCGTTAAAATATATGTCAATAAGGTAAATCACCTCTTTAGTGTTGTCCTTGCGCAAAATCACCTGGATGCAGCACAACACAAGCAATCTTTTTTCGGCCCCGATCAGAGTCTCGATTGCCTCGGCGAGTTCCTCCTCGCGACAGACCCGCAAGACGAGAGCAAGAGATTTCTTCCGTTCTTCCCGTGATCTCCCATGTGGTATGGGAAACGGAGGGAGTGAGTGATACACTAACGAGCTTATCGCCTTGCATTTGTATTGTCCAAGCCGGTGTAGTTCTAGTTCTTAATTACCCGTAGGGTCCCTTGCGAGTCTCGACCTCGATGGCGTATCGGCAGTTGTTTATCAGGGAGACGATGCTTCCCGTCCGCATCGCAGCATCGGTGAGTTATCCCGAGCAGTCATCTATTTGAGATGATCAAAAAAATGAACGTCACTGCAAAGCACGGACCCAGTTAAAGCCATTGAACTAGTAATTTGACACATTAAGGACTTGAATTTTCATGTCAAAAGAACGCTTGCTTTGCTTACCCGTATTGTAAGTTTCTGACAATTGAATCAAGAATCACTTGTCTCAGATCACAACAGTTGTGCTCAGAACGCAGTGCTCACGGCGCCCCAGGACGTCCCAATGTATAATTGAATTGTATTTCGAGAATTGGTACTTGTTCGTCAACCCAATAAAAGATAAGGAATGCATGATTTTCCAATACTGCGTAACAGGGTTTCTACAAGACATCGGGATTAGATCCTCGGAAACGTCTTGGTATGAACATGCGAGTATATTTCATCCGTAAGAAGGTAATCATTAAAAAATTTTGTGTTACGACACTTTATACAGGAGTTACGGCAAAATACACCGTGGCTAGGATCCGGAACCATAGAAGTTCCCATAGTGCAATATTCCTCTACCTTTCACGTTTTTTTTAATTATTTTAATTAGTGCCCTAAGAGTTATGCCTAAAGTATGGGCGTAAGGCTTTTTGCATCTCTTGGGCAGAATTTTACCCCTCCTTCAGCATGCTATGATTACAACTCACTTAGAAACAATAAAAGGGCCTTTAATGAAATTTATCGGTAAAAATTTGAGGTTGCAATCTCCAAAAGATTTTGCTTCATCGTGTAGAGAAATAAATTATCTTAACTAATGAGATAAACAAATAGAAAGAAATATGCAAATGCTTAGCAAGTAAGTTATTAAATTCTGCAGAAGATAATTGTCATCTCACAAAAGCGTTCACATAATAGAAACGACAAACTCATTAGCTTTAGACCAGTACTATGGAGTTACGTGGAGGAAAATGATTAGAAGGTGAGGACCCACTTTTAACAAAAGAAGAAGTGGGCATTCAAGAAGTCCACACACCCAAGTCAAGATGCTCTTCACTTTACTTATCTAATAAGCTCTCTTCTTCTATTTCTAGCAAAAGAAGCTCACTTCTTCTATGGACTGATCAAGGTATGTAGATTTCGACCAAAAAAAAAAGGGGTACGTAGATGACATACTGTTGTCATGCATGGTCACCAGTTTATTGATCTTTGATATTTGTATATATCTTACCGTCTTGGCTTGGGTTCACACAGAATTTGATGACAGGAAAAGACAGAATTTTGCTGAGGGACACTGATTTTTGCTTCTGTTTTTTTTCCCCTTGTTTTTTCAGAATCCTCTGTTTCTGCAGATTCATGTTTGATTACTGGTGAGTTTCTGAGATGCAATGTGTTCTTTCTGTCTGTACACTCAGAGAACTGTCAATAGTTGGTTTAATTTTTGCATTCTGAATGCGGTGTTCTGAGCATTTTGTGATCCATGTCTAGGAAGAAGTGTACTTCTTGATTTCTTATCTATACCTCTACAGAGCTATAGAAACTTCATTCCTTTCTGTGCTTTTTTCTCTTTTAGTTTTTCATTCGTCTAAAAGCTGAATTAGGATCACCCTTTTGTTGATGTGGAAGAAGCTCAGCTAATTATGGAATTTTGAGACAAAATAGAAAATCACTCTCCTAATTTCCTTGAGACTTGTTATGGTGGCTGCTTCGGAAGTGCATTTTGTGGTCCAGAAGACGACATTTATCGAACTAAGCTACTTTTCGTTGATCTAATTATTTTCATCCATTTCAACCTGCTCAATAATAATACTGTGGGCCTGTGGCTCGCTATAAACGAAACCGCCTTTGCAAATTTTCAAGTCATTCATGATATAGGACATCCAAAATGCACATAAAATCATAATTTCCTGTTCGTTACCTGTTAGTCAAGTGCATGGTCTTAGGTCTTGTGCGTTCTAGCTTCTTTTCCTTCAACCAAAGTGATATAGAATATGGATACTGAATAGAGCTCGTTTACGATTCATCTAGTCAGTTTATGCATCTTTTGTTCACCCTCAGTATCCTTTCTTGTCAAGGTCCACATCTCTTTTTCTCAATATATATGATCTTGAACTTTTACGCTCTATCAATGTTTGTAATTCTATTCCACTAATGCCTTAAAACCTAGCAGTTTTTTCTTTGGTCGAATAAAACCTAGCAGTTGATCTACTACCTTATGAGTTATCTTGGGACCGCTGAGGCAGCTTTGACATGCCTCTATTATCATTAGATGTTTGTCCTTCGGTTCACCTGAAGCACTTTCTAAAATTTTGTCTACACGGCTTCCAGTCTTTACTATAAGTTCTGACTGCAATTGCAGAGCAACATTTTGCTTCATGGAGAGATTCTCCTGGACACTTGACGGCCTTGGCCATGGGGGACCATATCAGCAAAATTCTATGGTATTAACAGTTTTTTGTAGATTTTTCTTGTATTTTAACTCGAATTGGAAATCGTACATTTCCATCACCCATTGATTGGAGAAAAACAGGGAATGACGGAGTCATATTCTTCATTTAAAGCTAATTTTCCAAAGAGAGGGAATGTCACAAGTCCTCATTAGCTTGTGGTTTGTGTCCTTAATTTTCTTTTAAGGAACCTTCTCAGCACATTTACATGATTGCGAATTTGGATGCAGGATGAGTCAATGGACTATGAGAGGGAGGAAACAGATCGTGCGATTGCCCTTTTTCTTGCAGAAGAAGATCAGAACGGAAGAAATTTCATTGGTACGTCAGCAAACTGTAAGCTTTTATGATGATATCCAATGGAATGCAAACCCAGAGATCCTCGTCTCTTCAATAATATGGTGAATGAGTGAAACATGTGTAAGAATGTCTTCAAGCTTGTTCCCACTCTCCACTTGATTTTGTATAAGTCTGTTCTATGTTGAAGAGATTTACACTCATCAGAGCACTTTTAGGCTATCTAGTGTTGCTGGAGTTGCAGTTGCCAATCATTGAATCTGTTCACCTTTTTGCACCGTAACCATTTCATCCTTTTCTTTCTGCTAGCAATGCACTTCATTATATGTTTAAAAGTTAAATATATAAAGTTTATAATTGAGTGGTTCCCGTAATTTGTCTGTTATGGGCATCTATCCTTCAGTTATGCAATTTTTCCAATGACAAGGGACCATCTACTCATTGACTGCTCTTTCTCTAAAGCTATATGGACATCTATTCTTAAGTTATGCAATTTTTCTAGAATGCCTGGCTCGTGGGAAGAAGATTTGGACTGGTCATCAGCTCTTTTTTAAGGCAAATCCTCTGGTTTTATTTTGTATAAGCTAGCTTGGAATGCCTTTGATTATCTTATATGGAGAGCTAGGAGTAACAGAATCCGTAAATCTCACAGCTATTCAGTCTGTGAGGTTACTCATGATATCAAATGTGATGTGAGACATAGATTGTCTATGGAAAGTAAACTTGCTGTTTGTTCTAGTGCTCATAAATCTCTTCGTTCGTATTGGGGACTCCTTGCTAGTAGTTTTTAATGAGAGCTCGTATGCAGGATCGGTCCACCTTCTAGCATGTGTGCTGCAACAATTATTTCTTACTTATCAAACCAAAAGGCTACACATATGTAATTGAGTGATTCCGTTATTTGTCTGTTAAATATTTCTCTACATGATAAATATCAATACAAATACGAACAAGCTTCTAAAGCTCAGCAAGAAAAAGATAAACGTCATTCTACAGCTCAATTGGAGGAGGATGAACTACTGGCACAAGCTCTCCAAGAAAGTTTAGGTGTAGAAGATCCATCTAGTCACAGTAATGGAAATTCATTTCAACTTCATCGGATTTCATCTTCAGGCTCGAGGTATATTCAGCTCTTGAGCTTTCTTATCTCAGGTTATCATTGACATGTTGGTCCTTCCCATCTTTTGAGAGGTTTATATTATCTCTGTTTCTGCTACCAATGCACTTCATTATATGTTTAAAAGTTACATGTATAAAGTCTACATATATAATTGAGTGGTTCCCACAGTGTGTCTGTTATTGGCATTCATCCTTCAGTTATGCAATATACACAATGACAAGGGACCATCTACTAATTGAATGCTCTTTCTCTAAAGCTATATGGGCATCGATCCTTCAGTTATGCAAATTTCCAGAATGCCTGGCTCATGGGAAGAAGATTTGGAGTGGTCATCAGCTCTTTTTAAAGGCAAATCCTCTGGCTGTATATTGGATAAGCTAGCTTGCAATGTCTTGCACTATCATACATTAAGAGCTAGGAATTATAGGATCCATAAATCACATAGCTATTCAGTCTGTGAGATTACTCATGCTACCAAATAGGATGTGAGATTTAGATTGTCAAAGGAAAGTAAACTTGCTGTTTGTTTTAGTGCTCACAAATCTCTTTGTTGTTGGGGGATTCCTTGCTAGTTGTTTTCTGGGAGGGCTTGTATGCAGGATCAATCCCCCTTCTAGTGTGTTTGTTGCAACAATAATTTTTTACTTATCAATAAAAAAAAGTTTACTTAGATAATTGAGTGATTCCATAATTCGTCTGTTAAATCTTTCTCTAGATGATGAATATCAATCCAAATACGAACAAGCTTCAAAAGCCCTGCTAGAAATAGACAAACTTCATGCTAAAGCTCAGTTGGTGGAGGATGAACTACTGGCCATAGCTCTCCAAAAAAGTTTAAATGTAGAAGATCGATCTAGACACAGCAATGGAAATTCACTTCAAATTCGTCCAGATTCATCTTCAGGCTCGAGGTATATTCAGCTGTTGAGCTTTCTCGTCTCAGGTCATTTTTGACATTTCAGTCCAATTTTGCATCTTTCATTTTGAGAGGTTTCTAGTATCTATCTTTTTTAACAGTTTAACGCTTCTATTATTGCTGAGAAATCAAAAAGGATATGAGATAATACAATGTTCAAGTCCTGGGATAAAAGCTGGAAGTTTGTGAAATAGAGTGGCTTTAGCTTTGATACTGACTAGAAGATGTAGGATTCCTCTGTAATGTCTCTTTTCCTGTGATTTATTGTGTAGTTGGAGAGAAGTTTCGGTCATGCATAAAAATGTGATGAAGCTGATATTTTATGTAGATGTAACAGGTCAGGCATAGACTAGAGAGACAGTGACATTTAACTAGTGTATGTCAAGGTGCTGATTTTCCAGCATGAAGGCAATACAAATGTGGCTGATGAATCCAGTTCCAGTTTAGGGGGCCAAAGAATCTTAGATAGTTAAATTCGTATTATAGTATAGTGGAGAACAAGTTGCTGGAATAGGTGTTGACTTTTGGTGAATCTCAACCCGTCATTCTGAAGCAATTTCTTTGAGAAATTATTTGCATATCAACTTGCCAGTACCACATAAGTTCTCACCTGCTCTGCTGGCAGAGAATGCATGATTAGTGTAACACTACTTCACCTGCATATTTTACGTGATGTTTTCATATTGCAACTAAGGTCCATTTTTCAATGGACTTATTTCGCAATCGGGTTAACTTACAACATCAATCACTCAGATTCTGTGCTGGTTGCAAGAGTCTGATTGGTCCTGAATATTTCGAGAGTTATATGGGTGCTGATTGGCATCCGGAATGCTTTCACTGCCACTCATGTGGTCTTCCAATTGAAGATCTCAAGGTAAACTCTATGTTTGCTTAACTTCTGATCAAGGTTTGGCCTATTAGATTTTCAACTATATTACTTTTTATAGTACATAATGAATGATTGATAGATTATTTTCTTGTAGATTTCAGTGTCCGGGGACCACCTCTATCATGATTCATGCGACAAAGAACTCCATCATCTAAGATGTGATGTTTGCAAGATTTATGTAAGTGCTTTCTCATTGACTTGGGTGCTGTATCAAATGGTTGTTTAAAAAGGCTTATCGAGTGGAAGTCCCAAGCTACAAAAAAGTGCCATCCTCCATATAAAGTTCAAACTGCAAAATAAGACAGTCCGACAGTTTTGACTTTGATAAAAACGTAAAAGGGAATAGACTTAAAGGGTGTTTGAGAACACTTTTGGCAGTCCTTCCTGTTTTAGAAGACTTAAGAAGCAAAAGAAGTGAAAGCCATAACAGTTAAAAACTAATTCAAAGAAGTAGCTCAGGGACCTAGCTTTTCCTGATGTAGCTCTCCGCCGCAACCTTCGGCGTCTCGGCTCTTGCCCATGACCTGCTCAACTTCGAAATCACCTCCAAGGCAAGCTCTTTTCCCTGATATTGGTGACTGAGTCGCTGTCATTTCCGGGCTGAGATTGGAGTGAGATGGAAAATCTGTGCAACTTTTTTCTCCTGCTCTTGTTTTTTTCTACTTATGCTGTTGAGTGCCTGAAGGTTCCTGAGGGGCTAGGCAACCATGTGGGTTCTTCCAGGGAAGCTCACGCTAGTTGGTAAATTGTTTTGCTTTACGCTTACAGTACTTTAAGTTTCTTGAAATGGGATTCTGCTCTGTCCTGAAGAAATTTAGCTTGGTATTATAATCTTAAAGTTCAAAATTTTCGGTTTTGTTGCTGCAACTACTTAATGAAAATGAAGGTATAGAAAGCTGCTAGTGGCATGGAGAGAATCAAATCCACCTCCAAAAACAACTGAAGAAGCAACAAGGCTTGTTGTCCAGGCCCTGAAGAACCACCAGAAGGCTGACGTTGAGGTAAATCAACCAAATTAAAGCGAAAATCTTGGATTTTTCGTTAGCTTTTCACTCCCATTATCCTCAGGGGAGTGAAGGAGCTGGTTCTTTTTGCACTTTTTTGTAATTTTTGGCTGTTGTACTTCATCTGATGTGGTAGGGCTTATTGGCGTTCTATGGTCTACCTCGTGCTCACACCCTGTTTGAGACCACAGCCGAAGTTCCAGCGTCATTGCCCCAAGGAGTGGTGTTTGAGTTTCAAACAATTCCAGTTATGAACCCAAAACTTCCTCGACGCTCCATAATCTCTTTCTATGTATTTGCTCTGTGGCATCTTCTGAATATCTTCTATTTTTTTGCTATGTGAGAAAGAATTTCATTGATTAACTTAAAAAAGCTGCAGAGCTGCTACTACATGGCACCAGCAGCTGCGAGTGTAACATCAGTAGCTTCTGCCGCAAGTGCAGCAACTATAACAAGTTCCAGTTCCTACAGACCTCCAAGTATTGAGTCAACACAAAATTTGCTAGCTTAACATCACTGAATATATACAATACGTCATTTTGTCTTCTAGACAAGATATCCAGTTCCAACTTACTATCGCAACTCGAGACAGATCTAACAACACATCTCCCATAAGCATCATCCCATTAAGAAATGATCTCCAGACTCAGAGTGAAGATCACAAAAAATACAGCTGTCATACAATCTTCTGAATATCTTCAGTAAACTTTTACCAGGTGTATGCAAGATGTGTGACAGATGGCGACGGCATCACCGTGTACGTTAGCACTTCCGATCCGAGAGAATCTTGCTTGGTCCCACAAGAAGTCCAGATCGCAGCCATCGAAAGATCAGAAGCCCGTGCTCAGAGGGACTACACTCGTGCAGATGCACTGCACAAAAGTATTGTGGACGCAGGATATCGGTGTGTCATCCTGATCGCTTATGAACAGTCACGCTCATCGTCTGTCACACTTCTTCTATCCCTGCACGAGTAATTCACTGGTTGATCATAGTTGTCTATATGCAGGGTAATAAATGTTCAGAATGAGGAAGTCCTTGCTCGGAAGTACCGAATTCGGCTCAGGTAAAACTGGGCATATGACCCATTCCAATTGGCAATTTTTTCTGTTTATTCTTCCAAGAACAATTGCCTTATGAAACAGGGGGATAGATGCTCCAGAGGGTAAGATGCCGTATGGCAAAGAGGCTAAGGACGAGCTTGCAAAGATTGTTGAAGGGAAGTGTTTGAGAGTTCTTGTGTATGGAGAAGATCAATATGGCCGGAGTGTAGGAGATATATACTGCAACGGCAACTTTGTACAGGTAAACCTGACTTCTCCCTAGCCTCGACTTTTTGACAAGTATATTCAATGGCCTACGAGTCATCAGTCAGGACATTTAATCAGGCCAAGGCGAGAAAGACGAGTTAAATGACCGAACATGCTTGGACAAAGACTAATGAATCAAACTGGCTTTACGCTCAATCGATCTCCTCTTTTGTTTTCTGAACTGAAACTTCATTTCATGGTTGGACTTGGGCAGACAGCTGAACTGAACCATAGCTTAATGCTTTGGGGGAGGTCAGGCTGGACGAGCCAAAGCCCGCCCATTGAGAAGGAATAGCAAATGCAAATTTGCCATATCAACAATGGCTTCTAATGATTACATACAAGCATGTTTGTTGAGCTGCTTCTGTAATCGCACACTATTGTCAGTTCCACTTTTTCCTGTACAATTGCTCATTCATTTCCATCTCCAACCACAGAAGTCAATGCTCAAGAAAGGGATGGCGTGGCATTACACAGCCTTCGACCAACGAGCAGAGCTTGCAAAGGTAGCCTACTGATTCTTCGTATTGCTGTACCCAATTATATGTGATTTGAAGTCCGTGTCTTGAATGTTGCATGAGCAGTGGGAGAAGAATGCACGGGCAAAGCGCGTAGGTTTGTGGGCTTCACCAAATCCTGAGGAGCCATGGGAATGGAGGAAGAATAAACGAGAGGGGAGATGACTTCACCCAAATCTGATTTAGCCTTTTGCCATTCTGTGGAAATGTAGCTGGCCAAGTATTGATGTACAGGGACTACAATCTACTCATTGCTTTCCGACTGATATAGAGAAGAATATGCTTTATCAGCTGTTGTATGCATGCTAATCTAGTGCAAAAGCTCGAACAGCCTTAGCCAAATCATCATATAAGATCAGTGAAGGATCCGATGTACGAAGCTCTGTTTGTTCCATGGTGTGGAAGGTGTAGCTATTGATAATGCCAAAAATGAATCCTTAGAATATCACAGGGATCCAAGGTCACTCAATGCGTCAAAAAGGATGCCATCGCATATCTAGGATTTCTTGAACGGTGGTTACACTAAGAGAAAACGTGCAAGAGAGTAAATCGTGGCTAGGGAAAGATAAACAGTGATCAACAAGACTGCAAGTGAAAGAAAGCCTGGTGTCATGTGGAAGGATGACCAATTCTGCTTTTTAAAGAGGTCTTGCCTTCTTTTTTCTTTTGGTTTCCCGTGGATTCCAAATGGCATCTGGGGCAGATGAATTACATTGGGGAATATTTGGCAATACGTTTGCATCCAGAAACGATGAACCGAGTACTCGAATCCTTCGTTGTTTACTGGCAGCTACATGAAGCAAAAGAAACAAAGACCATTTAAAGGAAGGAGACTATTTCATTCTAGAAGTAGCAATTAAATGACAGGGATACTGCACTTAGGAAAAATGGAAATCATTGTAGAGTTGTCATAATAGCATTTGCATTACGAGAATATTGAAAGAATCTGACTTATCAGCTTGATCATCAACCAAAACAGCAGATGGCTATGAGTCTGTTTGGCACTCGATGTTTCTGTAACTTTGGTACAGTAACTTTGGCGTTTCCTGTGCCGTGAAGTGTTGTAACTAAGTATAACAAAAGGAATTATGTGTCTTGGGAGCAAATTATTTTATTCTGGAGTGAATATGAGTATCCTAACATGATTTTTTCACTTAAGCAAGATGGGACTCCAATCTGTTGTAGTTGTGAGATGATGGAAGTGAGTTCCAATTTATAAACATCCTGCTTTGCTTGCTGGTCGAACTGTAGGACAGATTTTCGAGAGTAAAGAGCACTTTTCAATTTCCCAGCATTGTTGCTGATGAAAAACGTTAAATCTCTGTAGCCAAGAGACATGAGATACCAGTCACCAGATGATGGTCGAAAGCTATGTCTAGGGTGTCGAGACTCTGCGATTATGAATACCAATGCATGTCAACCTCTTTATCTTGAAATACAAGGATTCTATCAACGTATGAATATGAAAGTGGAACAGCAGATTCCTCTACTCTTGGCGGCAAGACAAGTGCTGAATGAAGCAATGGAAGGAGAAACGAATGTAAGTACAGATGCAAGTCTCATCTAGGTCAATACGGTCCCAGATATCATCATTTCATTTCTTGTGCTTTTTCCTTTTGTTTTTTTGGTTTTTATACTCACTTGAAACTTGAAAAGGGACATCATCACTTACATGAAACTAGAGGAGTATGCGTAAGGGAAGGATGGAATGTTCCCAATGTAAGAAAAGCGCTTGCTCATAGTTGCTAGATAGGGCTATCATCAAATGTGTACATTGTGACTGTATTTGATGAAACAAAGATTCCAGAATACCTTTTGAATAATCCACCAGGTTACCCGAAGGCCAAGAATTGGAGTAAACCACCAAATTACTGATATGGTAACTGAACCTTATAAGCCGGTTCATGCAATCCTCATTTTGTATGGTCTCTCTAGGTAATGTGACTGCAGCAAATCTCAGTTATTCTTTTGTGTGATCATCAACCATGGCTGATTATTATCCAGAAAACAGGTTGTTGACATGTTCAATCCTTGCTCATGAGATGATGCATGCTTGGCTTCAACTAGAAGGTTCTTCTTTAATGGCCTGTGATATCTGCAATTAATTTTTTTTTAATGTAATAGAAACAGCATATTTGATAAAAATGTACAGAGATATGGGCATTACTCAAAAAAAGTCGATACTGCATTTGTTTTTCCTTTAAAAATTTTAAAGGGACAGAATTAATGTCGATATTTTTCAGGTTATTTAAACCTTAGTCCAGAGGTTGAAGAAGGCAATTGTCAAGTTTTGGCTCATATGTGGTTGAATTCTGAGATCTATTCAAGCCCCACAAATGATGTTTCCTCATCCTCATTGCCGTCATCTTCCTCTTCGTCAACAACATCAAAGAAGGGCAAATATTCAGACTTTGAGATACAACTTGGCAAGTACTTTAAGCATCAAATAGAGACTGAACCTTCAATGGCCTATGGAGAGGGATTCAGGTCAGGAAACAAGGCTGTGGAGAAGCATGGCCTTAGGAAAACTCTCAATCACATTCGACTGATGGGGACCTATCCACTGTGATTTATTAAGCAGCTGTCTGTGGAACTTTGGTTTTCAGTGGTTAGTCACCTTGCATTAGTGACTTAATACAGCACGAGCAAGAGCATCAGTAGATCTTATGAATAAATCAGCATTGAAATTTGCTTGACGATTATATAGCAGATGTTGGAACCAGAGGCATAGGACAGATATGATATTTTACTTCGTAAAGTAACAGAAATGGTGTCGGTGGCAGTGCATATGTACATGCTTGGATGATTTTTTAGCTATGCGCATTGTTGGGTTCATCATGAGTAACTGGTTGAAATGCCAATGCATCTCATCTTTCAGAGTTGCTGCATCAGTTCTTGAGGAATTAGCTTTTGTTCAAACAGTTCAGCTCCCATCTTTGGAGTGCCTAATAACCAAGGACGGCATAAATCAGTTCATGATGAATCACCATACTGTTGCAATGTCAGTTCTGCCGATGTAGAGTTTGAAGGATTAAGGATTACGAGTAATTAAAACTTCAGCACCTGCACACGATTTAGAGATTTAAGGATTACGAGTAATTAAATTTCAGCATCTGCGCACTTCAACCAATAACTGCTAATTCTTAACAAATCATAACTGGTGATCCAGAGAGTATCACTGCTTCAACTACCACAAACTGTATATAATTTTCTTCCCTTTTTCAAACAGTGTTGCAAGCAACCCCGAACCCCAAGCTGAGCTGATGCCCTGTTGCCTAATACTTAACACTCTTCTAAGTAAGCATAAGGGTAATCTGCAATATCGTAGATTGCCCAATTCGTTTGCAAAGAGTGTACAACAGGACTAAGAATTAAATTTCATGTGATTATCTGCCATTGGAGCTCTATCAGAACCAGCAGTTTCTTCAGGCCTTCTAGTTTGCATACGAAATATTTTACACCCCCAATCATAACGCTCGCTGTAAATGTCAAGACGGCCTCCATAGTTATCGACACGACATCAAATCTGCAGAAAAAACTAGAGAAATTAATAATGATTATGTTTCATTTCTCTCTGTTGAACGGTCTCTACATATAAATTCCACCAAACAGCAGAAAGAATGCTTGCAAAAATGTATAAAGCAAAGTCTACTTTCTGCTACAGTGCGGCTGCTAGCTGAGTCGCTCTCTTCATTAATACAGCCAAGATGAAAGCCACTCTCGAGCAACACAGCATAGATCTGATATATTTCCTAATACAACGAGTAACCTCTTTGTGGAATACAACGGAGAAGATCCCCACGGACCAAGCCCACCAAGTTCTTCTCGTCCAAGCAAAGGGAAGCAGAGCACAAAGCCTCAGCAACAGGAAGAAATTGAGCTGATGTGCAGTGTAAAGTAATTAATTTGCCTCTCACCAAACTGTAAAGCAGCAATGATGATCTTTGATGTGTGAAAAGCATAGAATAGTCATGCAACAAGTGTTTGATTAGCAATGATGATCTTTGATGTGTGAAAAGCATAGAATATCCTTTACTCCACAGCGCCCTCACCTATAGCCGGCCACCTTACGGGCAGGGTTTGGAAAAAAAAAAGGGAAGGAAGGAAAAAAAAAAAAAAAGGAAAGGGAAAAGGAAATTAAAAATTCGAAAAAATTATATTAAAATATTATTAAAAATTGTCAACGTCAGCATTGACCGTGCCACGTAAAATAGCCGGCGTCCAGATCAGCAATTTTCGGCCAAAATTGGAAATGTTTAAAACTAAATTGGTAAAAGTGCAATAGGTTTAGGACTTTTTGGATAACTTTCCCTAAAAATGTGAGTATATTGCACCCGTTAGATGTGAATCCTTTAAATTTCTAAGGCAAAATGCACATGGCTACGGTTTAGAACCATAAGAAATCACGATTTTAAATGTTGAGCGCCTTAAGAATTGAGCGCACCATATCATCCTTGGTTAAAAAAAGACAAGAAATCACGATTTTAAATGTTAGCTGCTTCGAATAGAATTTTACTCTCTTTCAATATGCTCCGATTATGACTCAATTAGTAATTAAAAAAAGGGCTTTCGATGCTATTTTTTGGTAAATGTTTGAGGGTTAAATCTTCGATGGATTTGTTTTATCACGAAGAGAGACAGACTATCTTGACTAAAGAGATGAACAAATAGAGAGATAAATGCAAATGCTTTGCAAGTATGTTTTTTTTTTTGCTAGAAATTAAAATTTTTATTGCAAACAAAACATTACAAAAGGAATGCATTACCTACATTAAAGTGATCTATAAAAAAAGATTTTATTAGTATAATATTTTTAACTCTAAAAGGGGAGATTGTGAAAAAGAAAAGAGGATTGCAAGTGTGTTACTAATTCCTGTGGAGGATAATTGTCATCACAGAAAAGAGTGCACGCGACTGCAAACGACAAACTCAGTAGCTTTGACCAGTAGTGTGAACTTTTTTTTTGTTTTTGGTCGACCAGTAGTGTGAAGTTTCATGGTGGAAGATGATTAGAAGGTGAGGACCCATTTTCCACCAAAGAAGAAATGGACATTTGAGAAGTCTACACTCAAGTCAAGTTGCTCTTCACTTTACTCCCTAGCAAGCTCACTTCTTCTATTGAATGATCAAGGTGTGTACGTTCATCACATACTGACATACATAGTCACCGGCTTATTGATCATTGATATTTGTATCATTCTTACTATTTTGTCTTGGATTCACACAGAATTCAATGGTTTACGCAATTCCGGTTCTTATTTCTCCTTGTGACTTTATTTTTGTTTTTCTGGGGGTCAGAGGGTGACTCGAATCTGATGACAGGAAAAGACAGAATTTTGCTGAGAGCCACTGATTTTTGCTTCTGGTTTTTCCCCTTCTTTTTTCAGATCCCTCTGTTTCTGTGGTCATGTTTGATTGCTGGTGAGTTTCTGAGATACACTGTGTTCCTTCCGTCTATTCACTCAGAGAACTGTCAATAATTCGTTTGATTATTGCAATCTGAATGCAGTGTCTAGCAAGAATTGTAATTCTAGAGATCTTATCTATACCGTACAGAGCTATAGAAACTTCATTCCTTTCTGTGTTTCTTTCTCTTTTAGTGTGTCATTTGTCTTGGGACTAAATTATGATCACCCTTTTGTTGCTGCGGAAGAAGCTCAGCTAACTATGAAATTTAGAGAAAAAATAAAAAAAATCATTCTCCTAATTGCCATGAGACTTGTTATGGTGGTGCTTCTAAAGGGCAATTTGTGGTCTAGAAGGCGATACTAATCGAACTAAGCCACTTTTCATTGATCTTATTATTTTCGTCCATTTCCTCCTGCTCGAGGACAATACTGTGGGCCTGTGGCTCGCTATAAATGAAACCGCTTTTGCAAGTTTCAACTCATTCGTGAAATAGGACTTGAGCATGAAATCTTAGATCTTGTGGGTTCTAGCTTCTTTTCCTTCATCCGGAATCTGAATAATGTATATGGAGGAATGAAATCTTATATGGGATCTGGATAGTGAATAGCGCTCATTTAGGATTCATATAGTCAGCTTATGCATCTTTTATTCACCCCCAGTATCCTTTCTTTTAAAGGTCCTAATCTCTTTTTCTCAATAGATATGATCTTGAACTTTATTCTCTACTGATGTATGTAATTGTATTCCGCTAATGCCTGAAAACCTAGCACTTGATCTACTGCCTTATGAGTTATTTTGGGACCACAGGCAGCTTTAACATTCCTCCATGTTTACAAGATGTTTGTGCTTCGGTTCACCCAAAGCACTTGCTAAAATTTTGTCTTCGCAGCTTCAGGTCTTTACTTTAAGTGCTTACTGCTATTGGAGAGCAACATTTTGCATCATGGAGAGGTTGCCCCGGATAAGGCAACAAAATTCTGTGGTATTAACAGTTTTTGTAGATTTTTTTGTATTCTAACTTGATTTGGAAATTGTACATTTCTGTCACCCATTAATCGGACAAAAAGGGGAATGATGCAGTCACATTCTTCATCCGGAGCTAATGTTCCAAAGAGAGGGAATGTCACAAAACTCTCATTAACTTGTGGATTGTGTCCTTAACTTTCTTGAAGGCACTTTCTCACCATATTTACATAATTGAGAATGTGGATGCAGGACGAGTTAACAGACTATGAGAGGGAGGAAATAGATTATGCAATTGCCCTTTCGCTTTCAGAAGAAAATCAGAAAGGTAAAAATTTCATTGGTACGTTACCAAACTGTGAGCATTTATCATGAACATTCAACAGAATGCATACACAAAGGTTCTAGTCTCTTCAATAATGTGGTGAATGTGTGATGGCTCTGTTAGTGATCTGTAAAGAATGAGATGACTTGGGAGCAAAAGTACTGAAGCATATGCAAAAAAAAATGTCTTCAAGCCTTCTTCCTAGTCTCCATTTCATTCGTCTCAATCTCTTCTATGTTGAAGAGATTTACACAAATCAAGATCACTTTTGGGCTATTTAGTGTTGCTGGAGTTGGAGTTGTGAATTATTGAATCTGTCCACCTTTTCGTACCATAATTATTTCATGCTTTTCTTTTCTGTTAGCAATGTACTTCATTATAGGTTTAAGAGGTACTTATATATAAAGTTTACATATATAATTGAGTGGTTCGCGTAATTTGTCTGTTATGGGCACCTATCCTTCAGTTATGCAATTTTTCCAGAATGCCTGGCTCGTGGGAACACGATTTTGACTGGTCATCAGTTCTTTTTAAAGGCAACTCCTCTGGTATTTTGCATAAGCTAGCTTGGCCTTCCATTATCATATATGGAGATCTAGGAATTATAGGATCCATAAATCTTATAGCTATTCGGTCTGTGAGATTACTCATGCTATCAAATGTGACGTGAGATATAGGTTGTTGAAGGAAAGTGAATTTGCTGTGTGTTCTAGTGCTCACAAATATCTTTGTTTGAGTAGGGGGATTCTTGCTAGTAGTTTTCTGTTAGGGCTGGTATGCAGGATTGGTCCACCTGCAGGATGGGTCCACCTTCTAGTGTGTTTGATGCAATAAAAATTTCTTTTCTTAAAAAAGTAGTTTACATATATAATTGAGTTATTCCTATAATTTGTCCATTAAATCTTTCTCTAGATGATATATATCAATCCAAATACGAACAAGCTTCTAAAGTTCAGTTGGGGGAGGATGAACTATTGGCCATAGCTCTCCAAGAAAGTTTATACGTAGAAGATCCATCTAAACACAGTACTGGAAATTCACTTCAACTTCATCCAATTTCATCTTCAGGCTCAAGGTATATTCAGTTGTTAAGCTTTCTCATCTCAGGTTATCATTGACATGTCAGTCCAATTTCCATCTTTCAATTTGAGAGGTTTCTAGTATCTTTTTATTTAACAGTTGACGCTTCTCTTATTGCTGAAATACCAAAGAGGATATTAGATATTACAATGTTCAAGTCTTGAGATGCATTGTAGAAGTTCCTGAAAAAGAGTGGCTTTAGCTTTGATACTGACTGGAAGATGTGGGATTCCTCCGTGACCTCTCTTTTCGTGTGATTTAATGTGTAGTTGGAGTGAAGTTTTGGTCATGCGTAGAAATGTATTGGAGCTGATATTTTATGTAGATGTAACAGGTCAGGCATAGAATAGAGAGATAGTGATATTAAACTAGTGTATGTCAAGGTGCTGAGTTTTCCAGTCAGTAAGGAGGTAATAGAAATGTGTCTGATGAATCCAGTTCAAAGAATTTATTAGCTAAATTCATATTACAATAAAGTGGAGCACAAGTGCTGGAATAGGTGTTGATATTTATTGAATCTCAGGACAAAAAAGATGATTATCTGATCATATGTCAGTTCTATTGTCGTGCTCAAGCAGTTTCTTTGAGAAATTATTTGCATATCATTGACCGTACCTTTCGACCAAAAAAAAAACTTGACTATACCATAAGTTTTCTGCAGCTTTGCTGGCAGAGAATGCATGATTAGTGTAACAGTGCTTCACCTGCATAATTCACAGTACGTTTTCATATTCGAACTAAGGTCCATTTTTTAGATGGACTTATTTCACAGTTGGGTTAACTTACAGCATCAATCATTCAGAATCTGTGCAGGTTGCAAGAATCAGATTGGTCAGGAAGATTCCCAGAGTTGCATGGGAGCTGATTGGCATCCGAATTGCTTTCGCTGCTATGCATGTGGTCTTCCAATTGCTGATAAGGTAAAGGCTATGCTCAGTTAACTTCTGATTGAGGTTTGGCCTATATGTTTTTCAACTATATTAGTTTCCATAGTACATAACGAATGATAGATTACTTTCTTATAGTTTTCAGAGTTTGGGGACCACCCCTATCATGAATCATGCTACAGAGCAAACCATCATTCAAGATGTTACATTTGCAAGAATTGTGTAAGTGCTTTCTCATTGAACTTTATCGAAGGGTTGTTGAAAAAGGATTATCGAATGAAAGTCCCAAGCTATGAAAAAGTATCATCCTCCTTATAAAGTTCAAACTGCAAAACCGTAAGACATCCAACAGGTTTCGACTTAGAAAAAAATAGGAATTGAATTAGAGGGTGTTTGAGAATAGTTTTTTGGAAGTCTTTTCGGTTTTACAAGACTTAAAAAGCAAAAGAAGGGAAAGCCATAACAGTTAAAAACTAATTCAAAGAAGCAGCTCAGGGTACTCTTGGAGCTTTTCCTGATGTAGCTTTTATATGCGGATGTTTATCTCAAATTAATAATTTTAAAAGAAAAAAATCATGTGAGGAAACTCATATTCACTCTAGAATAAGTTAATTTATTCCCAAGACACATAATTTATTATCATTATTATACTTAATTACAACGCTTCAGTACACAAGAAGTGCCAAAGTTACAGTACCAAAAGTTAAAGAAACACCAAGTACAGCCATCTGCTATTTAATTGATGATCTAGTTAGTAAGTGAGATTCTCTCAATATTGGCGTAATGCAAATGCTGTTTTGACAAATCTACAATGACACTTCCTTTCCATTTTTCTCAAGTGTGGTATCCCTGTCATATAATTGCTACTTCTAGAATGAAATGGTCTCCTTCCTTTACATGGTCTGTTTCTTTTGTTTCACATAGCTGCCGGTAAATGAAGAAGGTCTGGAGTTCAAGGTTCATCCTGTCTGGATGCAAATGTATTGCCCATCACATGAGCAAGATGGGACTCCTAGATGTTGTAGTTGTGACCGGATGGAAGTGAGTTCCAACTCATGAACGTCCTGCTTTGCTTGCTGGTAGAACTGTAGGACATAAATTCGTGACTGTAGAACACTTTTGAATTCCCCAGCATCGTTGCTGATGAAAAAATGTAAAATCTGTGTAGCCAAGAGACAGGAGCTACTTGTTGCTGGATGATGGTCGAAAGCTGTGTCGAGATTGTCGAGACTCTGCCATTATGAATACCCATGAGTGTCAACCTCTATATCTCGAAATACAAGGATTCTATGAGAGTATGAATATGAAAGTGGACCAGCATATTCCACTATCTTTGGTGGCAAGACAAGCTCTGAATGAAGCAATGGATGGAGAAACAAATGTAAGTACTGATGCAAATCGACATTTTATTTCTTTTTTTTTCATCTTCTTTTTGGTTTTTCTACTCACTTGAAACTTGAAAAGGGACACCATCACTCTCATGAAACTAGAGGACTATGCATACCGGAAGGACGGAGTGTTCCCACTGTAAGAAAAGCTCTATCTCACTGTTGCTAGATCAGGCTATCATTAAATGTACAATGGGATGTATTTGACAAAACAATGATTTCAGATTCCCTTTTGACTAATCCACCAGGTTACGCTAAGGCCAAGAATTGGAGTAGGCAGCGACTATATCAATATGGTAACTGAACCTCATAAGCTGTTTCATTCACCCAACGTGAATGCAATCCTCATTTTGTATGGTCTCCCTAGGTAATGTGAATTTTTGCAGCACATCTCAGTTATTCTTCTGTATGATTGTTGCACCATGGCTGATTATTCTTGGGAAAACAGGCTGTTGACAGGCTCAAACCTTGCTCATGAGATGATGCATGCTTGGCTTCTACTTGAAGGTTCTTCTTTTATGGCCTATGATAACTATTATCATTTTAGTTCAACAGAAACGCCATATTCGATAAGAATGTACAGAGATACGAGCATAACTCAAAAAAAGTCAATACTGCATTTCATTTTCCTTTTCCTGTAAAAATTTTATAGGGACAGAACTAATGTGGATATTTTTCAGGTTATCCTAAACTTAGTCCAGAGGTTGAAGAAGGAATTTGTCAAGTTTTGGCATATATGTGGTTGAATTCTGAGATCTATTCAAGCTCCACAAATGATGTTTCGTCATCCTCATTGCCGTCATCTTCCTCTTCGGCCACGACATCAAAGAAGGGCAAATGGTCAGACTTTGAGATACGACTTGGCAAGTATTTTAAGCATCAAATTGAGACTAATCCTTTACCGGCCTATGGAGAGGGATTTAGGTTAGGAAACAAGGCAGTGGAGAAGCATGGCCTTAGGAAAACTCTCGATCACATTCGACTGACGGGGACCTACCCACTGTGACTTACAAAGTGGCCGTCCAGGGAACTTTGGTTTTCAGTGATTAGTCGCCTTGCATTAGCAACATAATACAGCACGAGCAAGAGCATCAGTAGATCTTATGAATATATCAACAATGAGCTTGACGTTTATCTAGCGCATGTTGGAACCAGAGGTATAGTAAAGACATGATACTTTACTTTGTAAAGTAACAGAAACGGTGTTGGGGAAGTGCATAAGTACATGGTTGTACGAATTTTCAGCTGCATGTAACAGTGGGTTCATCACGAGTAACTGATTGAAATGCCAATGTATCTCATCTTACAGAGTTGCGACATCAGTTCTAGAGGAATTAATATACTGTTGCAATGTCAGTTCTGCTGATGTAGAGATTGAGGGATTATGAACAATCAAACTCCAGCCCCTGGAGTTTACAACAGGACTAAGGATAAAAATTTCAGCTGATTATCTGCCATTGGAGCACTATGGGAACCGGCAGTTTTTTTTCAGGCCTTCTGGTTTGCATATGAAATATTTTACAGTTGCTCACCTTAAATGTCATGGCCTCCATAGTTATCAATACCAGACATCAAATCTGCAGAACAAACTAGTGAAATTAACAACAATCATGTCATACTTTCATTTTTCTCTGTTGCTACATATAAATTCCACCACGCAGCAGAAAGAAATGTTGTAAAATGTATAAAGCGAAGTTTGCTTTCTGCTACAGTGCTAAGCCGAGTCGCTCTCTTCATCAATAAAGCCAAGATTAAAGTTACCCTTGAGCAACACAGTATAGATCTGATATTTTTCTTAATAGAACGCGAGTAACCTCTTTCTGGAATACAACGGAAAAGATACCGACTGACCAAGCCCAGTAAGTTCTCTTTCAAGAAAAGAGAAGCAGAGCACAAACCCTCAGCAACAGGAAGCAATTGAGCTGATGTGCAGTGTAAAGTAGTTAATTTGCCTCTCACCAAACTGAAAAGCAGCAATGATGATCTTTGATAGATGAAAAGCATAGAATAGTCCTGCAACAAGTGTTTGATTAGCAACTCAGGATTATGATCTCTCCAGAATTTTGGCTCTGCCAAAAAATACTCCAGCCAAAAGACCGGCAAGACACAAAACCACATGTCATGCTATGCTAAGGCTGTGCCTAGTATAGTAAAGCTGACCAGACGGAGAAAATTTACCGAAGAGGATGCTTACAGAGTTTTCCAAACTAGTCAGTACTTTGAATAGGAGGATGCCAGCCAAAGACAATAGGATCTTATTATATGAACCTACAAGGCTGCATACGGCATCTGATATTAGAGATCATCTACATATTGTTTACATGATTAGAAACCATTTTTCTCAAAGTCCATCTTACCACATCAATATGACTCTATGAAAGTGAAAATGCGAAAATCAATTGTCTCCTCTCATAATCAACTCTTTTATGGATTAAGACCAAGAAGGACGATTTTTTGTTTTTGAATCTTTTGATAGTTAGGCTCAAGAAGGGAGAGAGGGGCATTGTTTGAGTGGAGAAAAGGCAAAGAGAAGATGGGACAATTTCCTATTAGGCTTCACAAATCTTCTAAATAGTTGGCCAGTAACGAAAGTATGATGTTAGTAATTTACTGAATCCTGTATCTTCCCTTTTTCTTTTATCCGTACACATAAACATGCATCAAACCTTGTTTGTTTAAATTGTTAAAACTAAATAATTTTGTTATGCTAAACAAGCAATCAGGACTGTATGACTTGATCAAAAATAGAAACTTAGGCCATTATCCAAGTATTCCAAACTTATTTATAACTGTTAATGTTTCACATGATTTGATCATACAACTTGGAAGATACACAATTCTAAGCAGAAACACCTAAAACCGGCAAAAAGAACTGATGATATTTCGACAGTGCAAATGATTTTAGATTATCGTAGAGTATAAAAGGTACATGCGAGTTGGCAAAAAGATTTAACCTACAAATATCAGTATATAATATAGTCGAAGAGAGCAAGCTAGCTCCAACCTCAACCTAACATAACAACCTGCAACAAGATGCTAACCATACAGAGAGAATTAAAGTTTAGATCGAGAGATTTGCAAAATATTGTCTAGTTCAGCTTCTAAGCCCACAAGATGGGAAAGGCACTAATAAAGAACACAACATGCATGACAAGTGAAACATAGTATAATGTTCTAAGACGAACTAAACCTGATAGAAGTAAACGTTAAACAAAAGGTGCAAGAAGCAGCACACTTTTACTGACATAAGAAAATTCATAAGTGACTCGAGTTAACAAGATGCTCTTCGTCTGATAATGCTGCCAACTAGGACTCAGGTTTTTAAACTAAAATGAGTTGGAAAAACTGATGAGAAATGTCAACGAAAGAGCAAAAATTCTGAAGTCAACATTTACTTAGAGTTCATGCTTTTTCTCTATTTCTTCCTAAAGCCATGGAGTAGAAATTTTCTTAGTCACCCTTCAATGAGCAATCAGGGCTCAACTAATAGGAAGTCACAACCATGTTCCCCCGAGCAAAAAAACCGCATCCATCCACTAGCCGCTTAAAGTCTATTTATTGGCCAAAAACAGGATCCCTTTAGTAAACTAGAACAAGCAGCAATCACTGTCAAAGAAGCTCCAACCTTGCACAACATTGTAGAGCAAACAAAATGTTCAAACCTGTATGTGGTGGCCCCTGTTTGACGAAGAAACCACATAGAAGTAAAGCTTATAGCCAACCCAAGAAACCCACGAAATGTCATCACCAACCAAAAAGTTGGTAACCTTAAAAGAGGCCTGCAATAACCTAAAAACAAAGAAAATATTATAAGCTTAGATATAACCTACAGATTGCATTTACCATGTAAGCATGTCTTAATAACACGTAACCGAAACAAATGGCAACGATCATGAAAACATTGTTTCTTCATATTACTCAGGACATACTCTCATCTTACTTACATTCACGAGAGACAGGTATCCACTGGGTTAATATGAATGTCAACATTACACATTGTCAAAAGGACACAATCAGCCGTCAAAGAGACCAAAATTAGCTAAAGACATGTAGTGAGAAACTGCTTGAAAGTGAAAAAAACACGATACACACAACGTCATGAGATTCCAGCTCATGGTCAAGGACAATTACATAGGTTGAAGGGACACAATTAACAGAAGGAGAATCGAGAAATAAGCTTAAACTCAGTCCCCAATCAGCAGAAGATTTTACAAACATATCACGAATACATAAACAAAAGGAAAATAGTTTTAACAAGATCATGGGGCAAATAAATGATCATGAGAGGAAGAAAGACAAAACTTACGTGTTAATCAGACAGTCCATCTCATTGAAAAACACACATAAGAATAACTCCCAGGGGGCAAAGAATTATTCACAAGGACCATTGAGAACTCATTCACGTTTCCAGATTTTTCGACTTGCTTTGCCGGATCCATGACTCTACCTAGTGTTAGCTGCATCAGAAAAATGAGTAAACAGATGAATGGATGCACGCCAGTTCAATTTCAGTTGGCAACTAAAATGAGTAGAAGTGCTTGGTGAGAGAAAAGGATGACAGATCCTACAACCAATTCAGAAAAAGCCCGTGTAGTTTATTTGTGTAGTTTATTTTATGTGTCAATCATCCAACAATGAATGCGTAAATTATGTTTTATAATATACTCACCGAGTGACAATAATGTATCAAATAAAGAAGGCAATAAAATAACCATTAAGTTTTACATTTGTTTTTCTAAAGTTGCGTTTACAATATTTCAAAGGGTAAAGACACCAAAAACCCTAAATTATGCCCACTGTAATATATTTATCCTTAACTTTTTTTGTAACATCAAAAATCTCAAAATTGTATTTGTGTGACATATTTACCCTCCGTAAAAAAACTATAAATGAGAACCGTTAAAAATCTATCTACGTAGACGCTAGAAAGCAAACATTGTTGCCCACGCAGCTTAAGTAAAATAAAAACGATAATGTTTTAGTTGAAAAATCATATAACGAAATCTTAATGGAGGGTAAATGTGTCACATAAGTACAAGTTTGAGGTTTTTATGTCACAAAAAAAGTTGAGGGTAAATGTGTCATAGTGGACATAGTTTGAGATTTTTTATGTTACAAAAACAAAATTAATGGTAAATGTGTCACAGTGAGCATAATTTAGAGTTTTTTTGCGGCTTTTTTCTTATACCATTACCCTCCCATGGAATCTATGGATATAAGGCTTTTCACATTTCTTGAGCCCCCTGCGTCAGTCCTTGGCTCATACAGTGTAAGAGCAACGTAAAGCATCATTAATCAGTTATTCGAAAGAAAAAGAGCATATCAAAATAAATTGCCATAGAGAAACTGGGAAAGCGTAAACCTAAATTTGTACAAGCATAAACGTGGAAAATTAGCTGAGAGCAAAGGACATATCCTCCTCTGCCATGTTCTTCTATCATTATATTTCCGGAAATGTTCGTGTAATCCTTGTTGGAAAGGAGGAATTCCTAACTTATTTTCTTTTTGCATAGAACCCGTTTTCAATCCTTTTTCATTTGATTTTGGAAAAATTTCAATTAAGGGCCCCAAATGGGGTCAAATTCCCAAAAGATGGCCCAAAGTGAACATAGTGTCAAATAAGGGTCTGAAGTACCCAATTAGTCTTAAATAAGGATCCGAAGTGCCTAAAAAGTCTCAAATAAGGGCATGGATCGCCGGCCGGCCAAAATACCCGCCGGCCGGCCAAAATATTACTATTCCGACACCGGAACAGTAACTTTTTTATTTTTTTATTGTTTTTTCCTTTTCTTTTTTTTTCTTTTCCTTTTCCTTTTCTTTTTTTTTTCTTCTCTTCCTCCGCCAGCCATAGCCGGGGCCGGCGGAGGTCGCCGCCCTCGCCTGGGCTGGGCGAGGTCGCTGGGCGAGGTCGGTCTCACCAGCAACGGCAGGGCCGGCCTCGCCCGACGCCGGCGAGGTCGAGCCCTCGCCAGATCTCGGGCGAGGCTCGACCTCGCCGACGCCCGGGCGAGGGCTCGACCTCGCCGGCGTCGGGCGAGGCGAGGCCGGTCTCGCCAAGCAACGGCAAGACCGCCTCGCCGACGCCGGCGAGGTCGAGCCTCGCTGAACGGGCAAGGCCGGCCTCGCCGACGCCGGGCGAGGCTCGACCTCGCCTGCCTCTAGGTGACGGCGGCCCTCGCCCGACGCCGGCGAGGGCGGCCTCGCCTGAGGCCGGCGACCTCCGCCGGCCCCGGCTATGGCCGGCGGAGGAAGAGAAGAAAAAAAAAAAGAAAAGGAAAAGGAAAAAGAAAAAAAACAGAAAAGGAAAAACAGAAAGGAAAAAATAATAAAAAATTTTAAAAAAGTTACTGTTTCGGTGCCGGAATAATATCATTCTTGCCGGCCGGCGGACATTTTGGCCGGCTGGCGACCCAGGTCCTTATTTGAGACTTTTTGGGCATTTCATATCCTTATTTGAGACTGATTAGGCACTTCATGCCCTTATTTAATACTATGTTCACTTTGGGTCCTCTTTTGGGAATTTGACCCCACTTGAGGCCCTTAATTGAAATTTTCCCTTTGTTTTTTGTGGCCAAATTTACTCTCCTCAAACATTACTCCAGTCTTTACTATTAGTAGGATATAATACTCTAAAAAAACACACGTCATTTTTATAGTTATTATCGGCGGACCACATTCCCGTACGTGTGAAAATATATATTTAAATTTTTTAGTCAGTTCAGGTAATAAAAAATAGTTGTAAAGTAAGAGAGATTTAAATCTAAATTTAGATTGTAAGATATTTACGAAATTAGTTTCAATTGTCTTAAGAATTAAATTTCTGAAAAATTTTCATTATATCTATGGAAAATTAATGTATTTGTAAGATAGGAAGAGTTTCACTTAGTAAAGAAACATAAGAAATTATGATTCGACGCTTTTCAGTTCAATTTTCACGCTCTTTCGATATGACACGATTATGACTCATTTAGTAATAGAAAAAGGGCTTTTAATGGAATTTATCGGTAAAAGTTTGAGGTTGAAATCTCTAATAAATTTGCTTTTATCGTATATTATCTTGAGTAAAGAGATAAACAAATGTAGAGAGATAAGAGCAAATGCTTTGCAAGTATGTTACTAAATTCTGTGAAAGATAATTGCCATCACACAAAAGAGTGCATACGACTGAAACGACAAACTAGCTTTTGACCGGTAGTCTGTCGTTTCATGGTGGAAACCGATTAGAAGGTGAGGACCTGCTTTTCACAAAAGAAGAAAGCGTGGACGTCAAGAAGTCCACACTCAAGTCAAGTTGCTCTTCGCTTTACTCTCTAACAAGCTCACTTCTTCCATTGTCTGATCAAGGTATGTAAATACATCACATACTGGCATTCAGGGTCACCAGCTTATTGATCTTTGATATTTGTATAAATGTTACCATTTTGGCTGGGATTCACACCGAGTTCAATAGTTTATGCAACTCAGGTTCATATTTCTCCTCGTGAATTATTTTTGTTTTTCTGGGGATCAGAGGATGACTTGAATTTGATAACGGGAAAAGAGAGAGTGTTGCTGAGGTACATTGATTTTTGCTTCTGTTCTTCCCACTTCTTTTTTCAGATTCCTCTGTTTCTGAAGATTCGTGTTTGATCGCTGATTCACTGGTGGGTTTCTGAGATGCACTGTGTTCTTTGTATCTGTACACTCATAGAACTGTCAATAATCCGTTTAATTATTGCAATCTGACTGCAGTGTTTTGAGCATTTTGTGATTTGTGTCTAGTACGAGACTTCATTACTTCCTGTTTATTTCTCTTTTAACATGTCGTTGGTCTTGGGCTGAATTGTCATCACCCTTCTGTTGATGTGGAAGAAGCTCAGCTAAATATGAAATTTAGAGAAAATATAGAAAATCACTCTCCTAATTTCGTTGAGACTTGTTATGGTGGTGCTTCTAAAGGGCATTTTATGGTCTAGAAGGCGACATTTATCGAACTAAGCTACTTCTCGTTAATCTTATTATTTTCATCCATTTCCTCCTACTCAAGGACAACACTGTGGGCCTGTGGCTCGCTATGAATGAAACCACTTTTGCGAGTTTCAACTCATTCATGAAATAGGACGTCCAAAATGCGCATGAAATCTTATTTTCCTGTTCGATACCTGTTAGTCATGTTTACGGTCTTAGTTCTTGTGGGTTCTCACTTCTTTTCCTTCATCCAATGTCATATAGAATCTGGATACTGAATCGAACTTGTTTAGGATTGGGATAATGATACAAATAGTTCTTGAACTTTGGCCCAATGTGTAATGTGGTCCTTGAACATTAAATTTGTTCAATGTGGTCCCTGAACTTTAGCCCAATGTGCAATATCGTCTCTGAACTTTTAATTTGTTCAATGTGGTCCATGGACTTTTGGTACATGTTCTGGACTGTATGAAAATGTTTAATGTTGTCCTGCCATTAATTCAAGTTTAGGGACAACATTGAACATTTTCATACAGTCCATGGACTAAATTGAATATGTTCCAAAAGTTCAGGGACCACATCGAACAAATTAAAAGTTTAGGGACCACATTGCACATTAGGTCAAAGTTCATGGACCATTTGTGTCAGTTACCCTTTAAGATTCATAGAGTCAGTTTATGCGTCTTTTACTTCACCCTCATTATCCTTTCTTTTAAAGGTCCTCATTTCTTTTCTTCAATACATATGATCTTGAACTTCTATTCTCTACTGATGTATGTAATTCTATACCACTGATGCCTAAAAACCTAGCGCTTGATCCACTGCCTTATGAGTTATTTTGGGACCACTGAGGCAGCTTTAAAATTCCTCTATTACCATAAGATGTTTGTGCTTTGGTTCAACCGAACCACCGAACCAAAGCACTTACTAAGATTTTGTCTTCACAGCTGCAGGTCTTTACTTTAAGTGCTTGTTGCTATTGGCTAGCAACATTTTGCTTCATGGAGAGGTTCTCCTGGACATTTGAAGGTCCTGGCCGTGGGGGCCGATATCAGCAAAATATTGATGGTGACAGATTCTGGTTAAGTCAACAAATTTCTGCGGTATAAATGGTTTTTGTAGATTTTTCTTGTCATTTAACTTAAGTTGAAAATCGTCTATTTCTATAAACCATTTATCGGACAAAAATGTGAAATGATTGAGTCATATTCTTCATTAAAAGCTATTTTTCCAAAGAGAGAGAATGTCGCAAATCTCTTGTTAGTTTGTGGACTTTGTCCTTAATTCTCTTTGAAGGCAACTTCTCGTCACATTTACATAGTTGAGAATTTGGATGCAGGACGAGTTAACAGACTATGAGAGGGAGGATATAGAATATGCAAAAGCCCTTTCGCTTTCAGAAGAAGATCAGAAAGGAAAAACTTTCATTAATACATCACCGAACTGTAAGCATTTACAATGAACATTCAATGGAATGATTACACAGAGGTTCTAATCTCTTCAATAATGTGGTGAATGTGTGATGGCTCTGTAATTGATATGTCAAGAGTGAGATGACTTAGGAGCAAAAGTGCTGAAGCATACACAAAAGAATGTCTTCACGCCTTGTTCCTACTCTCCATTTCATATTTTCTTAATCTCTTCTATGTTGAAGAGACTTGCACTCATCAAGATCACTTTTAGGCTATTTATTGTTGCTGGAGTTGGAGTTGCAATCTGTTCACCTTTTTGTACCATAACCATTTCATGCTTTTCTTTTCAGCTACCAATGTACTTTATTATTTGTTTAAAAGTTACATATGTAAAGTCTACATATATAATTGAGTGGTTCCCATAATTTGTCTGTTATGGACATCTATCTTTCAATTATGCAATTTATACAATGACAAGGGACCATCTACTTATTAAGTGCTCTTTCTCTAAAGCTATATGGGCATCTTTCCTTCAGTTATGCAATTTTTCTAGAATGCCTGGCTCATGGGAAGAAGATTTAGAGTGGTCATCAGCTCTTTGTAAAGGCAAATCCTCTGGTTGTATATTGGATAAGCTAGCTTGTGATGTCTTTCATTATCGTACATGGAGAGCTAGGAATCATAGGATCCACAAATCACATAGCTATTCAGTCTTTGAGATTACTCGTGTTATCAAATGTGATGCGAGATTTGATTGTCAAAGGAAAGTAAACTTGCTGTTTGTTTTAGTGCTCACAAATCTCTTTGTTCTTGGGGGATCCTTGCTAGTAGTTTTCTGTGAGGGCTTGTATGCAGGATTAGTCCCCCTTCTAGTGTGTTTGTTGCAACAATGATTTCTTACTTATCAATAAAAAAAGTTCACATAGATAATTGAGTGATTCCATAATTCGTCTGTTAAATCTTCCTCTAGATGATGAATATCAATCCAAATACAAACAAGCTTCTAAAGCCCTGCGAGAAATAGACAAACTCCATGCTAAAGCTCAGCTGATGGAGGATGAACTACTGGCAATTGCTCTCCAGAACAGTTTAAATGTAGAAGATCGATCTAGACACAGCGATGGAAATACGCTTCAACTTCATCCAGTTTCATCTTCAGGCTCGAGGTATATTCAGCTGTTGAGTTTTCTCGCCTCAGGTTATCTTTGACATCCAATCCATCTTTCATTTTGAGAGGTTTCTAGTATCTATCTTTTTTAAATGTTTAACACTTCTCTTATTGCTGAGATATCCAAAAGGATATGAGATAATACAATGTTCAAGTATTGAGATGGAAGGTAGAAGTTTGCAAAATAGAGTGGCTTTAGCTTTGATACTGACTTGATGATGTAGGATTCCTCTGTAACTTCTCTTTTCCTGTGATTAAATTTGAGATTATGACATTTAACTAGTGTATGTCAAGGTGATGAGTTTTCCAATCAGTACGGAGGCAATAAAAATGTGGCTGATAAATCCAGTTCTAATTTAGGGGGCTGAAGAATTTGTTTGTTAATTTCATATATAGTAAAGTGGAGCACAAGCTGCCTGAACAGGTGTTGAGATATGTTGAATCTCAAGACAACATATGGCTATCTGATCCTATGTCAGTTCTACTGTTGTACTGAAGCAATTTCTTTGAGAAATTATTTGCATATCAACTTGCCGGTACCATAAGTTCTCAGCAGCTCTGCTGGCAGTGAATGCATGATTGGTGTAACACTACTTCTCTTTTTGGGCAAGGTGTAACAGTACTTCGCCTGCATATTTTATATTACGTTTTCATATTTGAACTAAGGTCCGGTTTTTAGATGGAATTATTTCGCAATCGGGTTAACTTACAACATCAATCATTCAGAATCTGTGCAGGTTGCAAGAGTCAGATTGGTCTTGGCGATTTCCTGAGGTGCATGGATGCTGATTGGCATCAGAAATGCTTTCGCTGCCACGCATGTGGTCTTGCAATTGCTGATCGTAAGGTAAAATTTTATGTTCACTTAACTTCTGATCGAGGTTTGGCCTATAATTTTTTCAACTCTATTAGTTTCCACAGTACATACTATATAACCAAAGATTGATATTGTAGTTTTCAGTGTCCGGGGACCACCCCTATCATGAAACATGCTACAGAGACCACCATCATCTAAGATGTGACGTTTGCAAGAATTATGTGAGTACTTTCTCATTGAACTTGGGTGCTGTATCAAAAGGTTGTTTAAAAAGGATTATCAAGTGAAAGTCCTGAGCTTCGAAAAGTGTCATCCTCCGTATAAAGTTCAGACTGTAAAACGTTAAGACAGTCCGACAGGTTTTGACTTTGATAAAAATATAAAAAAGAATTGACTTAAAGGGTCTTTGAGAATACTTTTTGGAAGTCTTTCCTGTTGTAGAAGACTTAAGAAGCAAAAGAAGTGAAAACCATAGCAGTTAAAAACTAATTCAAGAAGCAGCTCAGTTTACTCTTGGAGCTTTTCCTGGTGTAGCTTTTCTATGCGGATGTTTACCTCAACTAATAATCTTCATTGTAAAAGTCATGTGGGAAACTCGTGTCCATTCCAGGATAAATTAATTTACTCCCGAGACACATAATTAATTATTGCAAGACAAGTTACCACACTGCAGGGCACAGGAAACACCCCAGTTACGGTACCAAAAGTTACAGAAACACCGAATATCAAACAGACTCAAAGCCATCTGCTATTTGTTGATGATCTAGTTTTTTTTCTTTTTTGGTCATATATTGATGATCTAGTTAATAAGTCAGATTCTTTCAATATTCTCGTTATGCAAATGCTATACTGACAAATCTACGATGACACTTTCTTTACATTTTTCTTTAGTGTAGTATCCCTGTCACCAAATTGCTACTTCTAGAGTGGATTGTTGTCCTTCCTTTAAATAGTCTCCTTCGTTTGCTTCACATAGCTGCCGATAAACAAAAAGGGAATGGAGTACGCGGCTCATCCTTTCTGGATGCAAATGTATTGCCCAGCACATGAGCGAGATGGGACTCCAAGATGTTCTAGCTGTGACAGGATGGAAGTGAGTTCCCACTCATAAACATTCTGCTTTGCTTGCTGGTAGAACTGTAGGACATTAACTCGTGACTAAGGAGCACTTTTCATTTTCCCCGCATCATTGCTGATGAAAGAACGCTAAATCTGTGTAGCCAAGAGACACGACGTACTTGTCGCTTGATGATGGTCGAAAGCTATGTCTAGAGTGTCTACAATCTGCGATTATGAATACCGATGAGTGTCAACCTCTTTATCTCGAAATACAAAGATTCTATAAAAGTAAGAATATGAAAGTGGACCAGCAGATTCCTCTACTCCTGGTTGAAAGACAAGCGCTGAATGAAGCAATGGAAGGAGAAACCAATGTAAGTACTGATGCAAGTCTTATCTAGGTCAATATGGTCCCAACTATCAACATTTTATTTCTTGTGTTTTTTTTTTCCATTTTTTGGTTTTCATACTCACTTGAAACTTGTTAAGGGACATCATCACTCGCATGAAACTAGAGGACTATGCTTATCAGAAGGACGGAGTGTTCCCACTGTAAGAAAACCTCTTGCTCATAGTGGCTAGATTGGGCTATCATCAAATGTGTACATTGTGACTGTATTTGACGAAAAAAAGATTTCAGAATCGCTTTTCAATAATCCACCAGGTTATGCGAGGGGCAAGAGTTGGAGTACGCAACCAATTTATTGATTTGATTACTGAACCTCATAAGCTGGTTCGTTCATGCAACGTGACTGCAATCCTCATTTTGTATGGCCTCCCTAGGTAATGTGAATTTTTGCTGCAAGTCTCAGTGATTCTTCTGTATGATCATCGCATCGTGGCTGATAATTCTCGGAAAAACAGGCTATTGACGGGCTCAATCCTTGCTCATGAGATCATGCATGCTTGGCTTCGACTTGAAGGTTCTTCTATAGCCTGTGATATCTGCTGTTAATTTTTTTAACGCAATAGAAACAGCATATTTGATAAGAATGTACAGAGATATGGGCATAACTCCAAAAAAAGTCAATACTGCATTTGTTTTTCCTTTTCCTGTAAAACTTTTCGAGGGACAGAACTAATGTTAATATTTTTCAGGTTATCCTAACCTTAGTCCAGAGGTTGAAGAAGGCATTTGTCAAGTTCTGGCTCATATGTGGTTGAATTCTGAGATCAATTCAAGCTCCACATATGATGTTTCGTCATCCTCATTGCCGTCATCTTCCTCTTCATCAACATCGAAGAAGGGCAAATGGTCAGACTGTGAGATACAACTTGGCAAGTTTTTTAAGCATCAAATAGAGAATGATATCTCAACGGCCTATGGAGAGGGATTTAGGTTAGGAAACGAGGCAGTGGAGAAGCATGGCCTTAGGGAAACTCTCCATCACATTCGACGGACAGGGACCTATCCACCGTGATTTATTAAGTGGCCGTCTGTGGAACTTTGATTTTCAGTGGTTAGTGACTTGATACAGCATGAGCAAGAGCATAAGTAGAACTTACGAATATATCAGCAATCAAATTTGCTTGACGTTTATATAGCAGATGTCGGATTCAAAGGTATAGTAAGACACTACATTCTATTTTCTAAAGTAACAGTGAAGGGGTCGGGGAAGTGCATATGTACATGTTTGTGTGATTTTTCAGCTACGTGTAATGCTGGGCTCATCATGAGAAACTGATTGAAATGCCAATGTATGTCTTCTTGCGGAGTCACTGCGTCAGTTCTTCAGGATTTTAGCTTTTGTTCAAACAGTTCAGCTACCATCTTTAGAGTCCCTAATAACCCAGCATGGCATAAATCTGTTCATGATGAATCACTATTACCATTGCAATGTCTGTTCTGCCAATGTAGATATTGAAGGACTGTGAATAATCAAACTTCGGCACCTTCCCACGATTTAGAGATTTAAGGATTATGAGCAGTTAACTTCGGCATTCGCACACTTCAACCAATAACCGCTAACAAATTATTATTGGTGACCAGGAGAGCATCACCGCTTCTCCAACTACCACAAACTCCATAATATTTTCTTCCCAAGCTGAGCTGATGGCCAGTTGGCCTCAGATTTAACACTCTTGTAAGTAGGCATATGGTAATCTGCAAATGTCGTAGATTGCCCAAACAACAAACCTCAAAGCTTCATTCGCGTAGGGTGTACAACAGGACTAAGGATCAGAATTTCAGGTGATCATTTGCTGTAGGAGCTCTAAGGGAACCAGCAGTTTGTTCAGGCCTTCTAGTTTGCATACAAAATATTTTACACTCCCAAACATAATGCTCGCTGTAAATGTCATGGCATCCATAGTTATCGACACGACATCATATCTGCAGAACAAGCTAAAGAAATTAATAATGATCATGTCATGCTTCCATTTCTCTGTTGAGCGGTTTCTACATGAAATTTCACCAAACAGCAGAAACAATTGTTGCAAAGATGTACAAGGCAAGGTCTGCTTTCTGCTACATTGCTATTGCTAGCCAAGTTGCTCTCTTCATCAATACAGCCAAGATGAAAGTCACTCTCGAGCAACACAGTATAGATCTGATACATTTCCTAATACAACAATCAGCGAGTAACCTCTTTCGGAATACAACAGAGAAGATCCAGACTGACCAAGCCCACAAAATTCCTCTCTTTCAAGCAAAGGGAAGGAGAGCACAAAGCCTCAGCAACAGGAAGAAATTGAGCTGATGAGCAGTGGAGTGTAGTTAATTTCCCTCTCACCAAAGTGTAAAGCAGCAATGATGATCTTTGGTGTGCGAAAAAAGTAGAATAGCCACGCAACAAGTGTTTGATTAACAACTCGGAATTATGATCTCTCCCGAATTTTCGCTCTGGCAAAAAACACTCCAGCCAAAAGACCTGCAAGACACAATACCACGTGACATGCTATTCTGAGGCTATGCCTGGTATAATGAAGACTAGAGGGAGAAAATTTACCAAAGAGGATGCTAGCAGAGTTTTCCAAACTAGTCGGTACTTTGAATAGGAAGATGCCGGCAATAGACAATGGGATCTTATTCAATGAACCTACAAGGCTGCATATGGCATCTGGTATGAGAGATCATCCACATATTGTTTACATGATTAGAATCCATTTCTCAAAGTCCATCTTATCACATTAATATGCCTCTTCGAAAATCATATTGCGAAAATTAATTATCTTCTACTCACATATTCATATCTGTCATGGGTCAAGACCAAGAAGGACAATTTTATGTTTTCGAATCTTTTGATAATTATGATCAGAAAGGGAGACAGGGGGATGTTTGAGTAGAGAAAAGCCAAATAAATTATGGGACAATTTCCAATCAGACAACACAAATCTTCAGCTAAATAGTTGGCCGGTAACAAAAGTATGGTGTTGGTAATTACGAATCCCACGTCTTCCCTTTTTATTTATTCCAATACATAAACATGACCAAACCTTGACTGTATAAATTGCTAAAACCAAATCATTTTTTGACGCTAAACAGCAATGAGAACTGCAAGACTCAATCAAAAATAGAAACTTAGGCCATCATCCAAGTATTCCAAACTTATTTATAGGTGTTAGTGTTTGATATTATTTGATCATGCAAATTGGAAAATACACAAACCTTTTAAGAAGAAAAGCCTGAAATCGACAAAAGATCTGATGATATTTTGACAGTGCAAATGATTTTAGATAATCGTTGAGCATAGAAGGTACATGCAAGTTGGCAAAAAGATTTAACCTACAAATATCAGCATATCTAAAAGTGTAAGAGAGCAAGCTATCTCCAACCTCAACCTAACATAACTACATGCAACAAGATGTAACCATGCAGAGAACTAAAATTCAGATCAAGATATTTGAAAATATTGTTTTGTTCAGCTTTCAAGCCCACAAGGTAAGGGCATTTAATTAAAAACAGAGTATAAAGTTCCAAGAAGAATTAAACCTGATAGAAGTATACGTGAAACAAAAGGTGCGAGAAGCAGCACAGTTTTACTGACATATGAGAATTCACGCATGACTTGAATTAACAAGATACTCTTCTTCTGAAAACTTTGCCAACTAGGACTCAGGAGTTTAAACTAAAAATGACTTGGAAACACTAATGAAAAATGTCAACATAAGAGCAAAAATTTCTAAAGTCAACATGTACTTGGGGTTCATGTTTTTCTTAATTTCTTTCTAAAGCCATGGAGTAGAAATTTTATTAGTCACCCTTCGGGGAGCCATCAGGGCTCAACTAACAGGAAGTCATACCCATGTTCCCGTGTGCAAAAAACCACAGTTTGCCCACGAGCTGTTTAAAGTCTATTTATTGGCCAAAAACAGGATTTCTTTAGTAAACCATAACAAGCATTAATCACTGTCCAATAAACTCTAAGCTAGCACAATATTGTATTGATATCAGACAGAGCAAATTTGATGTTCAAACCTGTACGTGGTGGCCCCTGTTTGATGAAGAAACCACATAGAAGTAAAGCTTATAGCCAACCCAAGAATCCCACTAAATGTCATCACCAACCAAAAGGTTGGTAACCTTAAAAGAGGCCTGCAATTTTAAATATACAAAGAAAATATCATAAGCTTAATTATAACAGGTTTAAAACTACATATTGCACCTATCATGCAAGCACATTTTCTTGATTAATAAAGGAATTAGAAGCTTAATAACATGTTGCAATCAATACAAACGGCAAGATCATGAAAACATTGTTTCTTCATATAAGACAGGACATCCTCGTCTTACTTACAATCACGAGTGAAAGGTATCCACTGGGTTAGTATGAATGTCAACATTACACATTGTCAAAAGAACAAATTCAGCCGTCAAAGAGAAAAATTAGCAAAGACATGAAGTGAGAGGCTACTTAAGAGTGAAAAGAAAAAACACAATATGCAGCCGCATGAGATTCCAGCTAATGTTCAAGGACAATAAATCGCCACCAGGTTGAAGGCAACCAATAAACTAAAGGAGAATCAAGATATAAGCTTAAACTCAGTCACCGATCAGCAAAAGATTTTACAAACATATCAAGAATACATAAACCAAAGGAAACTAATTTTAACAAGATCACGGGGCAAGAAAATAATCATGAAATGAAGAGAAAACTCACGTTGTCATCAGATAGTCCACCTCATTGAAAACACATATAAGAATAACTCCAAGGGGCAAAGAGAGGGTATTGTTTAGAAGGACCATAGAGAACTCATTCAAATTTCCAGATTTTGTGACTTGCTTTGCTGTGTCCATGACTCTACGCAGTGTTAGCTGCATTAGAAAAAACGAGTAAATAGATAAGTACACCAGTTCAATTTCAATTGGCAACTCAAACAAGTAGAAGATTTTGGTGAGGGAAAAGGATGACAAATCCCATAACCCATTCAGGATAAGCTCGTGTAGTTTTAACAACCACTGGGAACAATAATAGAAAAGTGGCACTATGCACACTTCATTGCACTTACAGCCAACTTAAGACCAAATTATCATCTGGCTAATTTATGCACAAAATATGCGATTTCATCTGTTCATCTAGAGACGGCCCACCTGTTTGGGAGGGTTGCTCGGGGAGTCTTTTCTTCATTTTTTAGAAGTTTCAGCAATTTGTATAAGCATTTGGCAAACCTTTAAAAGTAGATGCAGGGAAACCCATAGCAGTTCTAACTTGAAATAACTAGTGAGAAGTACTATTGCAAATTTCATTTGAAACTTGCAAAGTTTATCTGATCTCAATAGTTCTCATTGTAGTATTATCAATGCAAATTCTACACTCTATGTCAAACTTCTAAAAATAGGTAATTGAAACTTCCATATGACATTAAGGAACCTTGAGCATACTCACCGAATATGACGCTGTTAAGAAACAATTAGTAATCTGCCATGCATAGCCAATTGCATGGAAAGATAAATCGGTAATCCCTCCAGAAATTGCTGAAATGATCTGCCAAAGCAATCAAAACTTTCAGTAGTCATACATCTCCAAATTCATGAAATTTCTTGAAGTAGCAATCCATCAGAAAGAGAAAAATGAAGCATGATCATGCAGAAGAGCTAATATTTCTGCAGAACCTAGTCATGGAAATTTAAAGTGCGGAAGAACCAACAGTAAGAGTATGCAGCTACAAATTAATTATTAAGGGCCTCACAGATCAGTTTGTGAATAGAAGATGCATGGACATCCACAATCTTTCATGGACTTAACAGAAGATTCAATATACCAGAATAATGCTTGCTACATTTGTAAAAAATAACTCAGTAACATGAGTCAATGCTTCCATCAGGTGGACAAATTTTTAGCTTATATACATTCTGTTATGCAACTATAAGCTTTCTCTGTAACTGGAAATTGTCAATCTTGATATTGGTCCCCATGAAATGAAATGAAAAGTCAGAAACATACCATCAAGAACAAGGCAGCCCAAACTCTATTATCATGATGCTTATTAAATAGGTACATCTCCCCAACTGCTGTAATCACATTCGTAACATTCTTCAGGACAGTAACCATGGCAACATTTATGTACTTTAAGCTGCAGAAACAACAAAGATAAGTCAATTTAATTAACTCATTGAAAGAAAAAATTTGATATAATCTTATGGATGAAATTTTTTGGTTTGAGAGAGGGAAAGTTAATGAAGACATTTGACAGTAAAACAGCTGGTTTTGAATTGACACCATGTGACAGGAATTTGGGGGTGAAAGACAGGAAATAAATGGAATACTTATGAGAAAAATACATAAATTCATTAAGCCCCAAGAAAGTACTTTCTGTTTCGTGCCTTGAAATGAAATATTTTTCCAATTTTTCAAATTACAAAGAAATTCTACATGATTTATACCGATATTATATATGTGGTTTTTAAAACTTAAGGTTCGCTTGATTCCACATGCTAAAAGCTAAATTTCTCCCTGCCCCGTCCACAAAATAAAATAGATGGCCCTGCATAGAAACCAAAACCTGGTTTTTCTCACTGTAATCCCAAATCAACTGAGAAAAATGGTAGATCGAAGTTCAGTATTTTTTACCAGATGGAGGGAAAAAAAGTAAAGAGATTAATGAGTTCTGGCGCAACTATCCAACGAGATATGAAATTTCATGTTCTATGACGAGCAATGTTCGCATTGCATTAGCAGCATGGTTTAAGAATTCACATATACATGGATCCTACAATGGGTTACTTTGTGTATTCAGGAACTCAAATCACCATCTCAGCGCCCTATATGCCCCATCCATACCAATCATCAAGTACTCTAAACTCTCTCTAGGATATGTTCAATGGGAGTTGTTACAAAAGATTAGGTGGTGGGCCACAAGGTACTCCTAGAAAATACCGATAGCGGCGTTTTACCCAGAGAATAATATACTGAGTAGACTATTGAAAATCTCATACGCACATCAGATTAAGTAATTTCGTACTTTCAATTCTATTGCATTGAAAAACGTCATAGGAATGTAGACATTGTAGATTTAACACTTAATTACACCTCTTGATAAGGATGGTTAATGAAAAACATCAGGGACAATGATGGTGAAAGGAAAATTTCAACCATGAATTGCAATTTAATTTTGCTTGCCTGTAGAACAGTACAAACAGACAGACCACGACCATTTTTTTTTTACCCAAAAAAAAAAAAAACAAAGCTGATCCAATTACTTCTCAGTAAGCCATGTAATCTTAATTGATTGAATGACTAGGATTAATATGCATGCTAGGAGACTTCCAAATTTAGAAAAGAAAAGGACATAAAAAAGTAGGCCAATGCCAAGTAGTGATAGACTATAATTTCCCGGAAAAGAAATCAACATACCTAAACATGCTTGTAACAAGCATTCCAACAAATATTACGTTCACGGGCAACCAGACCTTAATCAATTTTAAAGTCAGCGGTTCTGTCGATATCACACCAAAAAGGGTCAATGTAGACACAATGATAACTGAGATAAGATTCTGCAATTCCAAAGAGAATCATGGGCTACGTCAGAAATAGCACAAAGCCATTAGATATTCAGCACATATCCTAACATGGGGACAATATTGTAAAGCAAAACTAATGCGGCAGGAAAACCACCTGGTATAGCATCAATGATATGCCTGCATTGAAATCATAGCTGGAGAGTACAAACTTGTTGACCAGGATCATGCTGCAGGACGATATGCAATATGCAAGCCCAGATAACAAGGCCTGGTTGTGCATTTTAAATGTCCTTCCACTTCTTGTTGTTCTTTCTCTGTCTTTTCCCAGCCTTCCACCTTCCAAATCAGATTCCCCATTTTCCAAAGGTTTCATTGTATGTGATAATCTGCAGTAAACAACATAAACGATCATTGATGCATAATAAGGAGTAATAGCCAGGAAGGCAAAGCTTAGAATAGAAGGAAAAGGTAAGAAGCACCTCAGTCGCAATACATTTAACACTTCAACACGATATGAGAAATCAGATTAGGAATAAGCAGGGAAGCCTATGACTCCAGCAAAATTAAATAAGTTCCAAGATGGGTTAGGGACCAAGGTGGATAGAGGCCAAAAACCGGAAAACCTAAAGGCGAAAGATAGGTTCACGGTATGGGGTCGTACCTGGGGGTGTGGACTGTCTCGTTCAATCCAACTCTACATTGTAAACCACATCAAACCAAATTTTTTGGGTAGGGAATTATTCATTATGAAACCGGGAAGCGACCTTGAGAAAAGGACACTAACTGACCAATTAAACCCGTTCACATCCAATTCGGTTCACAGGTTTCACCTGATTCTGTTTTTCTTCATTTCTTGTGTTTTCCTCCTTCCACAGTGCACATCACGCAATGCCAAATTGGCTAATTACTCATTTTCACTTACAATTCACCAACAATCTGGAAACATAACTACAAACTAATACACCTACATGTTTCAGGCACGAGCAAGAAAAAAGAAAAAACTTAAAAGGAATACACTCTAATTTACAAAACCTAGCAACAAAGCAAAAGTAGAACAGACGATGACAAGAAACAATAAGCTAATAAATGACCACAACAGCAGTGACTTCGAGTTGTCACCTCTTAAAAGTAAAACCAAGTTCCTTCTTCTATCAATGGCTGAGAACTAAATTCTAGAAAGCCAAGTATCGACTGTAAACTGTGGCTAATAAAAGGTATCGTAACTAAGTCAAGCAAACAATGTGCAGTGGAAGTTTAGGTATTGCAGTACTGATAGCATACCTGTCACCAAGTCTCACTGGGCCTGTCCTATCCTAGATTTCCGTTTCTGGCGCCAATATCCTCTGATGATTCCCTCTCGCATGTATGATGAAAGTATCTGTTGGAGCACCTAAAGATGTCTACAGCATTTAGAAAGAACTCATGAAGCTGACTAATTTTTTTGCACACGAAAAGCACACAAACCGAAATCGCTACCGCCATTCTCTCTCGCAATAAGATAGCTGTAACTAGAATTCAGAACACAAGATGCCCCAATATCGATCCGATTATCAACTTACATCAATCTATAATTAAAGAAGTGCTTCCGAGCACGACCGAGGTCCCTCTAACCCAAGAAGATTGAACCGACCATACTGTCAACATGAGTCAGAAACTGCTTACAAATACACAACACGTAGATCCAGCTACTGATACAAAAAGGAACAAATCCCGCAGCCGACCCAAATCCTCCCGAATCAACAAGTCATACCAAAATCGCCCACTTCATCACCTGTCCAAATATAAAAAAAAAGCACCAGCAGCTCGCATACTTAACAGTCGCGGAAGTCGTCGGAGCAGGCGATTAAGCTCATAGATCAACGAAGCAAATTGCCACTACAGAGAGAGAGAGAGAGAGAGAGAGAGAGAGAGAGAGAGAGAGAGAGAGAGAGAGAGAGAGTGAGTAAAACTCATCGCCAAATGATCAACCCTATTGCCCGAAGAAAACCCAGAAACGAATAACGCGAAAAGAATCGAACCGAACCTGTCAGAACTCCTAATCGGCCCCGTCAGCGAGCGAGATTGCGCTCTCCGAAACGGAAGATCGGGCTCGAAGGCGAGCCGGGAACCGGCGCCGCGCTCCTCGACCTCGTCGAATTCCGCAGAATCCGAAGGACGGAGGATGCAAAGGCCGGAGCTTTTTCGGCTCTCCGATCCGTCCAGCCTGCGGATGTATCGAAGCAGACGACCTTGGAGAAGGAGGAGGAAGGAGGAGGAGAGTCCAAGCAGCTTGGCGCGTTGACCGTTCAAAGAAAAAGGGGAAGGAGAAAGGGTGGAAGCTTTTCAGGTTTGAGTGGAAATGGAGGCTCTCTCTCTCATATAAGTTTGCAGATCCCTCCCCTCCATGTTTGACCGGACTGGTCAACGCTGCTTTGAAGCTCACAAGCACACTTTCATTTCTTCTTTTTCTGGCCAGAAATTGAAATTATTCTATTTGGTTTCCCGTCCTAAGTCCTAACTTTGAGATACCGTCAACTTTTTCAGAAAGATTTCGCCGGAAAAAAATTGCCCACGACGATAGTTGAGAAGGTTTCTATTTTCCACCCGCTATATTTTTCAGTGCAATGCATAATCAAAATGCTTTTGGAAATCGAAATATTTGATGTTGAGTATATTAATTTTTTCGATTCTTAATGTAGATTCAGCAATGCCTACTGTTCAGTCGAATGACGGAAGATGTGGGTGTACCAAAGGGAGGAGTTAGTGCTGTTTTGCCCAACTCAAACCGGAGAAAGAGTCAAAGTTCATCAGCTAGAACAGCAAAATGCCGTTGACCTTACGTAAAAGACACATGGGGGGCCATGCTGTAGTGGCCAAGCAACCGATCATAGTAGCTGAACGTCCATTGTTGAGCAGCCATGCATACGGCATACACATGGAATGGAACTCTCTCTTCTTGCTTTCTCCCGTGAACATTTTTTCTTCCGCAGCACCTGAAAAGATATATTGCAGAAACTCGGTCTGTGATTCGTGTGGCAAGTACAATATGTTTGACCTCGGGCTGCGAATAAGCTCGAAATTGTGGTCATAGTAATCGGAACATAAGTAGTACCCTCCAAGTTCTTGGATTGAGAACTAGAAGGTAGTTTTCTGGTTCATATTCATGAAAAGTACTGGTTTCACATGTGCTACATTGAGCTTTGTTTTCCTTCGCTTTGCTTGCATATTTACTCTTACACAGAAAATAGATTCCGTAATACCATTTTTCCTTCTAGGGTATAACTGGGTATGTTCTACTGGTTCTCGCAGCTATCTTGTCCAGTTTAGAGAGAGAGAGAGAGAGAGAGAGAGAGAGAGGAATAGATTCATCTCGATGGACTCGAAGCTAGAATACCGCGACACAAAATCGAAGGTCATGTATGTTCTTGGCATTCATTGCTAGGGTATAACATCTACATGCCCATTTTAACATTAATGACTACTTGGGAACTTTGCAAAACCTGGTCAAAGGCAAAGCTACAGCAAGACGAAACCGGACCTCTTTCTGCCATAGAAATCAGCATCCTCGGATTGGCATCGGCATTCTTATACAACATGCTCAAACGGACCGGTCAGTCGCATCGGTGTTCAATGGTAGAATGCTTTCCGGGGCCACCCATTTGCACTTCAAGCGTGGGAGGGAAGCCAGGCTGATGAATGGGGGAGTTGAAACTTAAAACCAAAAATGAGAAGCTGATTTTTACTAAACATGAATATCATGTAAGATTTTCCTTCTGTACAATACCAACAGAAACAATCAACTCCCAAGTCTCTCAAGTAGTGTTATAGAAATGTGGACACACTGTACACATGCACGCAGATATCAATCAAAGAAATTGTATCACATCTAAAAATAATTTGCATTTATAACTGTTGCATTGGGAGCCCTGATCATGAAACAAACTTCCAACTTAAATCGGTGCCATAATAAAATCTAGAACATAAGCAAGACGCACACTGTACACATGCACGCAGATATCAATCAAAGAAATTGTATCACATCTAAAAATAATTTGCATTTATAACTGTTGCATTGGGAGCCCTGATCATGGAAACAAACTTCCAACTTAAATGCGGTGCCCATAATAAAAATCTAGAACATAAGCAAGACGCAATCCCGCATTTAGAAAAGGGATGGTATTAATCCTTCTTGTTGCCTTTCCTCTCTAGATATCATGCAAACAATTAACATACAACAACAGTGTCAACAATTTATGCCATTGATATAAGCTGCTTGCTTATCTTTGATGAAATCCGTAATTCTGACTGGATCTCCATAAGAAATGACTTTCCCGTCTTCCATGTAAATGGCACCATCTGCATACTCTAGCTCCTCCAGCCGATGAGTCACCCATAATGCAGTAACTTCTTCCGATTTGTCAAGAGAATTTTTTACTGCTTTGATCACACCAATCTAGTGAGATAAGGAAAGCAAGGGGTTCAGACTCAAACCTATCTGAATATTGAGTTAATTTAGACAATAACTGTTAACAAGTTCACATATACAATTCAAACACGTAAACTGAATGCAATTTGACCCGATGTTACAACTAGTCTAAACCAAACCAAAAAAAAAAAAAGATCTATTTTAGAACATACTTCTTAGTTTAAAAGAATTTGATTTGATTTTGCAATTGCTCAAGCATATGGGATAATACCTGATCCGTTTCATCCAAGAATGTCGTGAGCTCATCTAATAACAGAACTTTACATGCTTCAGCCAAGGCACCTGCAATGGCAACCCTCTGTTTCTGACCACCGCTAAGGGTTTGAATTGGTCTCTGCAAGGTGAGCATCATGTAACTCTACTATGACTTAGAGATCATAATATATTTAAAGTGTCCATCACCTACTTGCATGTAGTGAGACATGCCCACAGCATCCAAAGCTTGGAACACCTTGGACCTTACTTCCTCTTGAGTAAGGTTGGACTTGCCAAGGCCAAATGCAACATCAGCTTCCACAGTCGGCATTATAACCTGAAACATGCAAAACACTGGTAATCGTAGTATTTCATAAGTTATCGGTGTCATCAAACAGAGCATGTGTTGGACTTGCGGATGATCCTGAAGATAACCTAAGATTGAACTCTCCCTCCTTACTATCCATGTATGCACACAGGTTCCTACATGTGTTGCACGTGCATTCTCAATGTATATTCACAATATACCGGGTGCTAGCCGAGATCCATACCATTTACAATAGGCATATAGCTTCACATGCCCAGAGTGTCTTGACCAGAGGATCCTAAATGGCATTGAAATGGATAGGGTTTGAGCAATGAACCCTATTTAACATAACCTGCTCCATCCCTAAGAATGTAGGGCATGCCTTAACATTTTGCAAGGAGTTGCTACATTTCTACTAGCTTCAGAAGGAAAATTTACTTCAAGTTTTTAAGGCATTTAAATCCTAGGGTCTTTGAGGTTTTGACTCGGTCCAGCAGATCTCATCCAGAAGTATCACAGAAGGCCAATCATGACTAATAAAAAGCAGATAGCTAGCAAATACTACAATTAGTACCATGAGAATTGAAGTGAAGTAAATATGTGCTCTCTAAATTCAGTAAAAACTAACCAACATGGTTGGCAAGTCTGACTTTAAATTTAACCTTTACTTGTGCACAAAGCCAATAGTTTACGAAGGCGAGCCTTTAAGCCTGAGATACACATCAGAACTTTCATGTCATTTCCATGCTAACTTATAAGTCAAACACTAGCGTCTACAACCGAAATTCTCAAATCGTCCCTGCTCAGATATCATGTAAAACAACTCTTCAACATGACCTTCAATTTCTTCATAACCAACTGAAATTCTCCCATACATTAGCCGACGTCCACTTGTCAACAACCAGAAAATAATATTAGGCATCTGGTCTTACAATCTCCATATATACGAAACAACAAAACATCTCTACAGATACAAGAACCAGCATATATACACAAGATCTCCCAATCTAAAGCATCCAACAGCCCAGAACTAAAAGCCGTATAAAGCTACTCACGGAACCTTGTCGAATTTTTAAACATGTTAAGAATGAAAGAGCTAACCTGATGGTCAGGATTTTGGAAGACAAAACTCCTGGGCCTCCTGACATACACCTTCCCTTTAGTTGGAGTCAAAAGACCAGCAAGAATCTGAACAAACAAAAAAATAAATCATTAGGTGCGTGAAGAATGACATTATCAGACAATTTGACAGAAAGAGTGAAAGCAACCTTCAAAAGAGTTGACTTTCCACAACCATTGGGACCAAGAAGCATCCAGAGTTGCCCCGAAGGAATGCTTATGGAGCAGTCCTTGAGGATGGGCACGGACGCCCCCTGCCTCGTCGGAATAGAGAAGTTCACGTTCCGAGCTTCAATGGCGATGTTTTCACAAGCATTGACCCTTCAAGAACACGGAGAAAAACCACACACATGACTCGCGCGACGGACACCCACTTGCCCAAAAGCACAAGAAACCACAGCACGTGACTTGTTCGAAGAAATGCCGCGCCGAACAATTTGCATTTGCGAGACGTGTGCCTTTTGCTTTTGAGAGAGAGAGAGTTTTGAACCTGGAGAGCGGATTTGAGCGGCTGAGGGATGAATGAGCGGGCGATGGATGGAGAGGAGCGAGGAGATTCATTTCATTTCGATGGCGAAGTCTCTTCGCTCGCCCTGAACTGGACCGAAAACGTTTGGCTTTCAGCTCCGATGAGCAAGAACTAGGCCTCGTTCACGCGCGATGGAGAGTGGGTTTGAGCGGACAAGAGGGAAGAACGAGCCGACGATGGTTGAAGGGGAGTGAGAACTTTCATTGCATCTTCGATTGTGAAGTCTCTCCGCTCGCTCTGAACTTAACCAAAAACGCTTGCTTTTCAGCTCCGGCAAGCAAGAACGAGGCTTCATCGTACACGGTCCCGCGTCGAAAAACACTCGCTATATAGTCGCAGACAAAACAGAGTACTTTCTCAGTTCTTTTATCTTTATCTTTTCCTCATTCGATAGAATTCACTTCTTTGTATCTTCTTTTTCACTTTCCTTGCCGTCGTTAGGAGAGGGGTCAGCGGAGCAAAGAAGAGTTGTACCGCAGACTTCTGGGTTGCTCCCTTGGCAAAATTAGGATAAAGTTGAGCCAAAAGATCCTGATTCAAGATAAATTCATGAGGAAGTGGGTTCCCGGACTTGAGTAGGTTGAAAAAAGAAATACAACATACGGAACTGGAGCTTCTAACTAGGATGAATTCGCTAATTTTGCTGTCTGAATAGACTATGTTTAATGGAGGATTCAACATCTAAAATAAATTTCGCTATGCATCAGACCTCTGTATGCAGTTCGTAATTTCTGATTTCTTCCTGCTTGTGACGACTACATAATCTTCAATTTCTTTACCCTTTTCAAGCAAAACTCGGCATCTACAGCATTATGCACAAACTGCAATTCAAAGGAAAATGGCCTCTGGAAGAAGATCTACATGATCTCGACTTTCCCTTATCCTTCAGAGCCGATTTGCAATCCTAGAAACTTCAGAGAAATAAAAATTTATTGAAAAATACCAATATTGGGTTCTAATTACATATCCCAATGAAATCGATTTATATGGATATCCTATAACAATATTACAAATGAATAGGTGCATCTCTGTATTTGCCAATCTGGCAATGTTCCTACAATCAATCATCTGCACTTTAATGAAAGAATGGAATGTATAAAAATCGTTTGCCCCCCTTGACAATGAAATGCTTGATAGCTGAATGTTTGAGAAACCGGATCCTGAAGGCAAACTTGCCGATTTCTCTCTATATACCCTGTAATTCCTATAATCTTCACTGATAATCAAACTTCCAGAGCATCTCTTATGACGTTTGCTCTCTTGTCTGACCTTCGCTCTTATCACACTCTCCATCATGGAGGGTAGAGGCCAACACAAGCCGGCTTATCTTTAAAGCTCCCAATAGCACGTCTACTGGCATTTAATTTCATCAAGGAGGGTAGAGGTCGAGGCACCGGGACATTCTTTGATCTGTACAACTTTCTCATCCTCTCATTGAAATTGTTTGATGACCCAAGAGATGAAAAAGAATTAGACTTGCAATTGTTTGCCTCTTTTGCAACTGGGCTCTCAGTCTGTACTACTTCAGCAATATCTTCCTCGATTTTTTCTTCATTTGATTCCTTACAATGCTCCAAAGTATATCTATCTTCTTGGCGTGACAGTTCATATTGAGTATGCTGAATAGTGGTGGAAATAATGTGCGATGGCTCATCATTTCTGGAAGCAATTTTCTTCTCTTCCTGCAGATGTATAGAGCCTTCAAAACCAATTCTGGCCCTACCAAATAGTGTCAGCGAGGACCGTTTGCTCGGAGGAGATAAATCTGAAACTTCACTCCAATTGGTGGATGGTTTGTCTGATTTTCCTTCACAGTCCACAAAACTATGAGCTTGCTCAGGTAATGAAGGTGGAAACTTCGTGCACTCAGAAGGGACATCAATGTCGATGGGAATTCTGGCGTTGATGCCTAGAAGATTCCAGATAGGGTCCTCTGAGGCTACTTTAGTGCCAAAACAGTTTCTCTTGACATAATTCAGTTCCATAGCCCAACAGTTCGGTGTTGTTGACACCACTCTCTTAGGGGCAAGAGTCTGCAAGGCCCACTCTAATTCATCCCTCGATGAGTGCATAGAGTAACAGACATGCCAAACACCAAACTCGTCCCTAATTGCTTCATCGAATCTTTGTCTTAGTTTAATTTCTGCCAGTGAACACTCGTCTTCACACGCATACCATTGTGACGAAGGCCGAATTATTAGGGGTTCGGGCTGCAAACTAATTCGAGCCTCCTCAAGTTTCGCTTTAGCCCTTTCGGACAATCTAGGGAAGGCATCAAACAAATGGAAACGAGAAGACGGGTCTTCTGAGAGGATCTCCGGGAATGTCAGTGCCAGAGAACGAAAACACTCTGGATGGGCAGCTTTATCAACATAGATCTTGGACCCAAAGGTCCGTGACACCTCAGCTAGTATCTCTTCCTGGCCGAGTAAATCGCAGGTCAGGTAGACAACTGGAGCATCAGGGTGCTTCCATATACAATTGATCACCTGCATAAACAATATACATGCATTTCTGTTATTTTTCCGCAACTTTAGACCAAGAGAGTCATTTCTCACCCCTTTTTTGACAAACAAAACTTCACAGAGACAAAGTGAGTTATAAGTTGCAGCTCATATCAAGATAAATCCGAAAAGCTAATACATGAGCAAAACTGGAGTTAAGGGCAATGAAGATTGCCGTGCCAATGATAATGACAATATCTCATAATAGTACAGCAGGACTATGAGTTGAATGATTGTTTGTCGACTAAGAAAGTCATAAAGCTAAGCCATAAGAGGATGTAGATCAACCGTATAGCTTGAATAAATCAAATTCAGCACTCTTTATTGCTACAAATGGAGCCGTCCTCACGACCCTTTGTCAGCCCTACAGAAACAAAAGCATGTGGGTGGAGATACGACTATGCTATGCAATTCAATCAAGGGAATGAGGATGAGGGGTTAGGCGGCAGCTAATTCGATTTGTACCTGTCGTATCGCTGAATGCTTGCTTGGCATGCTTTGGTGGTACTTTCCGAACGTGCAATCCAAGTAAACAAAATCAAGTGGACACTTTGGCTCTTTGCCTTTTCCCCCGATGTATTTGTTCGGTAAGTTCAGAACGCATTCGGGAGTCAATCTGCAATCTCCCGTGTGCAAAATGTTACCAAAGGCGCCCTCAAACAAAAACATTACAGCTCCTGGCATTCAAAAAAACCAATACCAGGCGACGGTACATATGTCAATAGCATCCCTAAAAATTCACCAACCGAAAAGCAAAAAGGTCCCTCCAACGCAATGATGAATACGAAAAGATTATGGAATGAAAGTCAAAACATCGAGACAAGGTGAAATATGCAATATTTTTGCGCGATAACTCTCTTCACTGGATACACATGATCGAAGTAAAAGAAGCTGTTATTGCATCTTCATCTAGAAAACCAAGGCAATCAACAGAACAAATGAGGTTCATACAATTTTCCCAAATAAAATCCCCTCGACAGCCATAAGATCATGCACTCGCGGCCTAGTTCTAAATCACAACCAACAGCATAACACCATCGAATCAATTACCGGGGCAGTGATTGGCATCGAAAGCAGTAACCGCGAAAGGCCCATCCGGATCGTCGACCACCAAGGATTGCCCCGCCTCGATTTCGACGAACAACGAACCATCAAGCTGCACCCAGAAACCCTAATCAGCAATCAACCCGAAACCCAATTACCCCAGAAGGATCCGACCCACAAAAACGGAGGGGGATTCCGGGAACGGACCTGAGGGAAGTGATGGAGGACGAGGGCCTTGGTGAGGCGGGTGGAGTAGATGGGGCGGGAGGAGCGGGAGGCGGCGGCGGCGGCGATGATCCCGACGGAATGGTCGCGGTGGGCGTGGGTGAGGAAGCGCCACCGCTTCCTCCGGGACGACGGAGCAGCCCACGTGTCCACCGAGAAGGGCAAGCCCTTGGGCATCTCCACCGGCATCTTCCCCTCCTTCCAAGTTTCGATCTTGTCTGCACAGAGAGAGAAAGAGAGGAGAAGAAGAAGAAGAAGAAGGAGACGGCGGCTCTCGGTCTGGAGCGTCAAAGCTACCACGGGGAAGAGGAAAGCGCGGGAAAGTCCCGGGGGGGGGAAAATGGCGGGAAAGTTGGAAATGGGAACCAACATCCTCTTTTTCCATTTTTGTCATTTTTTACTGGATTGTTGCGGTTTGAGTTATTCAATAACCTCTGTTTTTTTCCACTATGAATTTTGGTCGAAAGTACTTGTTCTTTCATTGAAATATCAAATGAATTCGTGGTTCCCTTGTTTTACTGCAGTACCAGGGGACGTGCCGAAAGGGACCGAATGGAGGAAATAATACAAGAGATGATCAATGGATAGGATCGTGCACCGACGGAACCTCGGGATGCAATTATCAATTGTGTAAAGATTTTCGAGCTGGGCGAGTATGACTCGAGCCCAACCAATTTGGAGGGGCTTCATACTCAATGACACTCGTCCAGGCCCCCCCACCAAAATTAACTCCGGTCGCTTGGAAAAGCGCGGTCAGGCTCATGATCAGATCGACGTCCATGTCACGGGGAAGCTGTGCAAAGTAAGATGAAAGTGTACGAAATTCAGCCGAGCAGGGTCCCCCGGGGAGAAAATATCGGGCCTCGCCACTTTACGTTGCTTGCCACTAACTTCCGTTGCTGGACAGTCACCGAAGCTGCTGAGACCTAGGTTGAATTCTTGCCCCAGTTCCAACTCCTAATGCAACCCAAAACTCCAACAAGGTCATCCAAAATTTCTTGCCATCTGCAGTCTAAAGCCACTTTCCACCCAAATTTCTTTTCACCGATATGCGATCGATTCCGAATCCTTGATTCAAGTTTCAACTCTATCGCGCGTCTTTGGTCATCTCTAACCACGACAGGGCACAGCGGAGCTGGAACCTATCCTCCCATGTCCAGTTGCCATTTTCACAGAGGTCAGAATTAGCCTCAGCATTACCAGCACATGTTGAGACTACAGTGTATCTAACTGGCTGGAACATAGAGCCGCCGCGTTCGATGAGAAAACCGAAGCGAAACCGCGATGCCAGGTGCCAATGCTTACACTGATGAGTTTTCCAAATTCACTTCCTAAATACGAACAGACACTCCACATAAATTGGGAAGAAGTGAACTAAGCAGACAGAAAGGGAAGCACCGAGGGCCAATCCTCTCTTTTTATCAGGCTGACAACAGTTTGGCCAGTGATCTTACAACTTCTGAACTATATAAACAAGAATGTTGCAAACATAGACAGTGCCTTTCTGGGTTACAACAATCAACAAATTGTTACAGGATTCAAACTACAGTACTTTCCTCATCGTAAAGTTCCATCACCCTTTATTATATGCAAGGAGGAACTTGTTGCACAAGCGAGAAATGCAAGTTCCACCGTATCCATGAAGAGCCTTTTTATACTTTCTTCTTGAAGCTCTTGTAAAACCAGCTGGAGAAATCCCACCATTTTTGTCCGAAGGGACACGTTGCTATACTTTCTCTCTAAATACAGCATATAGAGCTTACTCATTCCTCTCCTGTGATGATTGAAAAAGGACCTACCGTTTTACTTTGCTATTTACATCAAATAAGTCCCCTTCTCGGGGATCCATTGGGCGTCCGAGAACTGAAAAGAGCTGTTTCGTGCCAAGGATCCAGAGGCTGTCTTGTGTTTGGTCTTGTGGGATATATGGAGTAGTCATTCAAGGTGTAAGCACTGTGTCCAACAGGAGCAAAGGCTGGGTGAGGAGGAGAGAGAAAACCGCTCCTGTGTGTATTTCCAAAATGACGCAATGGGCTTGAACTCGGGGATACAGGTAAAGACGTTATCATTCTCACATCATTCCTGCTAGTCCGAAAAAAAAAAAAGTTGATACACATCCTGAAAATAAATTCTATTCCACAACGAAACGCAAAAATCACACACACACATGCACACGCACAAAAGCATGGGAAAAGCACATACCTCGGGCTTCTCATGGCTCGTGAGGGAGAGAGCATTCCTGCTGGCTTTCTCGTGTAGTCCATTTCAGGAGGAGTCATACTTCCTGGAGTCACACTTCCTCTGTTGGAGAGAGAGAACATTCCAACTGGCTGTCTCGGGTAGTCCATTTCAGGAGGAGTCATAGCACCTGGAGTCATGCTTCCTCTGTTGGGATGGAGATCCAGTGCTGGCTGCTCAAAGCAAAAGAGTGAAGTAAATGCCAATTCATCATCAATGTAACCAGTCTTCATTTTTTGGCACGCTAATCTTCTCTGCAACAACTAAATTCTCACAAGATTCCTTTCTTCATTTCCTCGTTTTGTGATGAAAAACAAAACACATTGAGCACCCAATACGAAGTTGGTTCATACAAATTCAGAATAAATAAGTACCCAGTAATTACTCAGAGAGCAGATACACAATAATAGACACAAACCAGCATTAATGCATTCAGCAAAAAATTAAAACCTCCAAAGTAAAAACCTAATGCAAAATCTTTTTTTAGCCAGAAACTTAATGCAAGTTTATTACAGACCTTTCTCACCATACATCCATCTCTGTGGGACACGTTGCATATGCTTCTTACACAAAAATAATCTCTAAGAGATAGTGTAACACTCTTTCTCACTTAAAAAAAGCATGAACTAAAGGAATAGACAAATGAATCTCGAAGAGGGAAACAAAAGCACTCTAGAAGGATTTACCGGCGTGCGGGTCCCCTCAAACACTGAAGGAAAGGCATGTTTGGTTATGCTAATGATAGATACTCTTGATGTTGCCTGGTCTCGAATAAAAGGGTGGTCAAGTAACTGTCCAGCGGTTGGGCGGGCCGATGGTTCACGCTGCAGGCACAGCCTTATGAAACTCTTGGCATCATTAGAAAGGTGATCGGGAATTTCAGGCATATCTTTGCTATTTCCAATTTTAAAAATGGCAGCCACCTGTTTAATTTTATATAAAAGAAAACAGATTTAGTCCTGCAGATTCTTGGAGAAGCGCGAAAAAAAAGCACATTGATGTTCAGGATAGTCTAACCGCACCCCTTCATACTGACTCCAAGGCGGCTTCGATGTTGCCATTTCAAGAACAGTGCATCCCAGGCTCCACACATCAACAGCCAAATTGTAGCCATTCGTGTTCATCACAACCTGAGGTTTAATAAATCAACAAAATTAGAGGGGAAAGACATGGGCAAAGGGAACATGGATAAGAAGTAAAATGAAATATATGTAAACATGGGGGAAGGAACTATCTGTAGTATTCATCACAAGATGAGTACATGCACATGCATATGCAGATGCAAGCCAGGAGAGTCAGAGAGAGAGAGAGAGAGAGAGAGAGAGAGTACCTCAGGTGCCATCCAGTAAGGGCTACCCTTGAAAGAAAGCATTGATTGGCAAGATGTTATCTGAATCAAAACAAGAGAGGACAAGAACGTCTCAGTATGAAAATAGTTTATGGTACATGGTGACAAAATGTTCACATTTAAGTAAAATTGGTTCTAGTAATATAATTAAGTTTACCACCCTATAAATCTCCTTTTTTATAGTGAAAAGAAAAGATTACTATAGAGCACCAAGCGGGTGCAAAACCATACACAGAGAAAGCTCAAAACCAAAGGAGCTTGGTTACAAGACAAATTAACTATAATGTCGATAAAAGCATCCCATCCAGACATAACTTTCCACTGTATCAAAAGTTCTTTCAACCAACTTTCAATAATTACAAATCCCATTGTCTTCTTTCCAACAATATTTCGAAAACCGAACTGAACTGGCCGGTTCAACGGGATACTAGAGCCTAGTCCGGTCCGGTTACCTTGTATAAACCGTCTGAGGGTTGGACCAATTAAACCAGGTACTGCTCCCTCGTCCAGTTAGCTCTCCCATATCGTTTTCAAAACATTGCTCACCGATGAAAGCCTTCTTAATCAACCAAAAAACAGTAGATGGAAAAACATGGGCATGGCTGAAGCTTTTCTCTCTTATCAGAGCCAGTTTCGATTCTGGGACTATGGGTTATAGGCTCACCATGCTTCCGTTGTGCCACTCTGATTTGTTACCAACCTATACATCTCATCCTTACCAAAATTGTGCTAATTCCATATGATCTACGCATAACATTGTTAGCACTAGCAAAATGAGCATATACACCTCCCGATAGCCATGGCCATGTTTGCGGGTTGGCATGGGAATATGGGTGAGAGAACACTCATAGGATCACATGGTAGAAAGAATTTTGTTGTTCAGCCACTCAGGCTAGAAATTACTGAACTTCACATAACAGGTACCCAATGAAGTAACAAACAATTCTAACTTTGCCAAGGAATTCTCATGTCAAATAAAAAAATCGAGGGGTAAGCTTTGCTTACCCTAGGGTATAGTTGCAATGTAGGCCCTAAAGTTGAAATTTGCATTAGACCACTCAAAATAATTAAAATGCAATTTTTTTGGGGGGGGTGGGGAGGGGGATGGATCTTTTCTTTGTTGGGTAGAGTATTAAAGAGAGTCATGAAATACATACGCAAAGAGTGACATGAATCCCCATGAAGACTTGCCGTCATATTCAATATTGAAGAAAAGGAAATTTAAAACTACTTATTGATTCAAATGACATACATGCTTCGCCATGCCAAAGTCCGCCAATTTGATCTCACCATTGGGATCAACTAAAATATTTGCACCTTTAATGTCCCTGCAAGGTGCAAAATACCATCAACAAAACTTAATAAAACCTATAAAGTCAGCCATCCCATTTACAAGAAATCAACAACTCTTGTTCAGGGGCAATTACCTGTGCACCACATTTCTTCCATGCAAGTAGGCAAGGCCAGAAGTAATCTGCCTAGTATAATTTTGAATAACAGGCTCCTCAAACGCACCATACTCCTGGAGTAATTTGTGGATTGAACCACCCGATACATACTCAAGATAAACTGAGAGTGTATCTTCTCCCTACAAGAACGACAGATGCAAAATATCAAAAATTAGTTCACCGTAATTCCACACATCAGTGCCAATGTTTCCATTTTGTGTTTATTTTTGTGTACTCCAATGCATGAGCCTATAATTTTTAGGTTTTTGACTAAAGCATAGGCCCATACCAATTCACTTCCATAGTATCGCACTATATTTGGATGACGAAGTTGACTAAGCAAGTTTATCTCCTGCAGATGACGGAAGACACAAGTTCATCATTTTCGTACCATCAAAAGAGTAAAAGCAAAAAGCTCACATAAAATGGGTTAGACAGTTGACCTGATTAAGCTGCTTAAAACTCTCTTTTAATGTCTGATCATCTGAAGCAATCCTCACTTCCTTTATAGCACACATTTGCCCTCCTTCACTGAAATGTTTGCAGAAAGACAAGTTAACAAATACATCGATTTTGCTGGAAAAAAAGAACATGAAAAGGGTCTTCCACCAATCATCCAAATTAAGCCATCTAGAGTAGATGACAATCAATGGAGGAAAAGTGAGACATCTCAATTCTTCGACTAGCAAGCAAATTTTGGAGTACAAGTACCTGTTGAATCCAAGGTAAACGTGCCCAAAAGTTCCTCTTCCCAGAAGTCTTCCCTTCTTCCATTTTGATAGGGTAAAAGTCGGGCTTTCAAGCGCCCCACCGTTTCTGTTGTTGGGCAATGAAGAAGGGCTTGTAGGAGAACCCGGCGGAAGAGGCAGCGGATGGCATTGACTCCTATCGTCTTGCCTGCCTGACTGTGGAGAATCAAGATTGATACCCGACAATCGTGTATGAAGAGGCGATGTGGGGCTTGTGGGCCCCCTCGAACAAGGACCGGGGCTCCTTGGCCTTGCAGTGCACTTTGTATCACTGAGTCCCCTGTCATCAAACCACCACATAGATCTTACTTACACGTGCTGCTTATACAGGCATCCATTTTACCCATCGCACCTCTAAGAACGACATTAACTGCCATTACTCCATTTTTCGAATTCCAACCTTTCTGAAGAATGATATTCACTCACTACTCATCCGATCTTCTTCAACATAAGCAAGACACAAGTCGGTGTCTGAAATACTATCGCTTTAAGTCTTAAGTCTTTACATATACGATCATACACGCTTTTGAGCCTAGCAAACCTCAAACAACAAAAGCAAGCTGAATACGCCCCGCATACACAGAGACAAGGGATCGAAGGGATTAGAAATGAAAGCCACCAACAATTTCAGATGCGCAAGACTCGAATTTGCCACCAAATTGACCTTGTCCTTCATGGTACTCGAGTTATAACGATAAAAACTCCGACTTTGATAGAAGAAAGACATGATAAAGAGGGATAAGACCAGAAAACAATCAGACTCTTTGAATCCCATGTCAACCAAATACCAAGAAACCCTCCTTACCCAGCTAATCATTTACTCCGATCACACAAAACCGACACAAATCAGCACTCAGTATCACCCACAAACTAAGTGACCGAAAACCCCAATAATTCAAGCTAGCCCTAGAACCAAGGACCAAATATTTCGAGATTTCAAACTCCACGCGTTGCCGAATCATCAATCCTATCATAGGTTCAAGTTAAATCAAGAGCAAAAAATTAGGGCAAGAAGGAGACTAATCGCGAATCTCATAAAACCCAACCTCTGGACTCCGAATTGGGCGTGAGCATTGACCAACGGGTGATCATCCGACGACCCGGACGAGCTCACGCTGGAGACGGAGACCGACCCGTTCTCGATCCCCTGGACGGACGAGACAGAGGGCCGAGGCAAGGGCAGCCCCCGATCCGATTCGAACCCCGAGAACCCGCCCGCCCCCGCCCCGGCCGGCCCCCCGCCGCCGCCGCCGCCACCGACCGCGATCCCCCCGAAATCCCTGCTGCTCCTGGGCGAGTTCTTGGAGGAGACGGACTCGTCGAAGCTCCTGGGCTTCCGCTTCGCGTCGTTCTTGATGGACGACTTGGCGAGGCTGTTGTCGGCGGCGGCGGCGGCGGCGGCCTCCCGGGTCTTGCTGGACTTCTTGGACCACCAAGCAGGCATCTTTTCCTGGTGGGTTCTCGAGATGGGTCGATACAAAAAACCAAGAACACAGCAAGAAACTGCAAGAAACCGCAAAGAGAGAGAGAGAGAGAGAGAGAGAGGGAGAGAATTTGAGCCCGTGGAGGCGCAACAAGTGGGGAGAGGTGGTGGGGGGGAGGGAGTCAAGATGGAAAGTTCGGACTTGGGTTCTGGGACCGAGATTTATGTGGGCAGAAGCTGCCTGGAAGACGAGCAGCGCTAGCTTGAACAGAGGAGAGAGAGAAAGAGAGACAAGGAGAGAGGCAGGAAGAGAGAGGAGAGAGAGAGAGGAGGGATTAAAAAAGACAACTTTTTTGGGTGGTTTTTTCCTCTTTCTTTGTAGAGAGAGAGAGAGAGAGAGAGAGAGGAAGGGGGGGGGGGGGGAAGTGAGGAGTGAGAAACAGCTAAGTGGAGATGAAATGGTTGGGGACGGCAGGAGGTGGTTGGATAGAGGAAAGGGCGGGGAGGCGGGGATGACGTGGCAGGTTCCTAGAGAGAGAAAGCGTGGGCTGATCTTCTTGTGCTGTGCCTTTGTGTGTCCTGTCCGCGTCCCAAATTTCGAAACCCCCCCCGCGTGTCGGAATTGCAAATTTGTGTGCAAAAATAGTTTATGCGAATCGAGTGACAAAAAAATATTGTTAACATCGTGAAAATCCCCGAGTGATAAATTTACTCTGAACTAATTTTTTGAACTCTAAAAATCTCAAACCGGTACACCTGTGATAAATTTACCCCCGTTAGTTTCCGTTAAATTTTACGGTCAAATTGCTGAGTTCGATGACACGTGACATCTTACGGGTGTACCAGTTTGAGATTTTACCTCTCTATTTGTCACACGTTACCAATTTGTGATTTTTCGTGGTATTAATCCAGTTCAATAGATGGCAAATTTGTCACAAGTTAACCAGTTGAGGGTTTTTGGTGGTCAAAAAAATAGTTTTTGGTAAATTTACCATAGGTGTACCAGTTTGGGATCTTTTGTGGTCAAAATATTAGTTCGGGGTAAATTTATTACTTAGAGTTTTTCGTGGTATTAACAGTAAAAAAAAATCAACAAAATTTTTTGTTTCTACCTAATAAGGAAAAGGAAAAGGAAAAGGAAAAAAAATTGTTTCGTGATGTAAAATTTAACTTCGTATTATCTATTTCTACCTCAGCTGGCGATTCATGGTGTTGGGTTTGTAATTGTTTCGATTAATATTAACATTCGAAGTAATTAATTGAATTATGTAGTAATCAACCTAATTCGTGTCAATTGTTATATTTTGTCATGTTTGGTTTTTTCTGTATGTTTCTTAATTTGTTTCTATTAAGGACATCATGTATAACAATGCCTGACCAAATTTTTTAGTTATATTTGATACGATTGAAATTAGGGGTAATTGATTTTTGAGTAGATCAATTCCCACTCTAAAACCAGGAACCATACTGGACTGGGTCGATTCTTAATTTGTGGAAACAAGAAGCGAACTAGCTAGTCTCGATCTGGATCCCGGGTTGTCTTGAGAACCGATGGTATCTCTTTTATTTTTTTGGAAGCTGTAATTCTTTCTTAATTAGAGTGTATAAATTTTTTTTGTCGATAATCAGATTTCTTATGTTGGAATTTGAAAATCTAAGACTTATCTTTTTGCTAAGTATATAAATGGATTTCCCATTTAATATGAAAACTTAAGAAGAGTTCCTTATCCCGCCACGAAAAAATAACAGAGATTTAGTTTTTTTTTTAGTTCTAATCTTGATTTTGGAGTTCACAATGCTTGTTGCCTTTGCCCCCAATGCAGCTTTAATTCTAAAAGAGAAAAAAAAATTATACATTAAAAAAACAACGCATACCGGTTTAGTTTGGTTTTCGGCTTCCACTGCCAATTCCAAATTTTGATAACCGGGAATCATTCAAAGCCAGTCGGTTCACCAATTCGCGGGTTGAACCAAGACCGTACTCACTTTTAATGGAAGAGGCTTGTCAAACAAACACATAGATACCATGGAAAGAAAGAAGGAACATCACATACAATACTAACATTTTTATGTCATATAATATTGGAAAAGACTAATTTGGATAATCAAAAGGTAAATATATTCTTGAAAAGAAATGTGAGAGAGAGAGAGATAGAGAGAGATATACCGTTGAATAAATAAATCCAAAGTTGGAGGAAGTAGAGAAGAAAGTGGCATGGGAATAATTCACAATTCCTTCTCTAAAGTAGTCAAGGTTCCTTCATCTGCATGCAAAGTCTGAGGAAAAAAAAATTGGACAGTCAAAGTTAGAACTGATAAAAAGAAAAAAGGGATTATTCTATTGTTTGACCATCTAGTATATGGATATGTACAAGAAAGAAAGTAGTCTAATCTAACAATGGAACTAGCTATTTTAGAAAATAATGAAAATTGCAAAAAAAAAAAATCAACTAATATCGGAATATTTAGATAATAATATTCTAACACCTCAAACTCGAAGTGGTTGGAAGGGAACCAACTGGAGGAGCCTTCACCCATGGTTTGATTTGATAAGCAAAGGAGATGTGGACAAAGTCAACGGTTCCTCGAAGAAGAATTGGTCGTTCTCATCTGTATGTTTAATGAGCTCCAAAAAATATTATTTTGGGCAATATGAAGTGCGGCTTTGCTAGTAATAGGCATGTGGCCTTGCTGGTAAAGAGATTGGGGGTGGGGATATTAGTATCACAGGTGCGGAATTCGACTTCCGCGCTCTGCAAGAGGCCGAGCAAAAATCAGAGAGAGATAGTAAAGTTAGAAATAGGACAGATAAAAAAAAGAGGCGGCTTTGCTAAAGTACCAAACAATTGTGTGTGATTTATGTGGAATGCCCATGTCTTCCAAAAGCCAAGGTAGCTAGACAATACTCAGATTCAATGCTAGATCGTGAATTAACGGTTTGCTTTACGCCAAGAGGTAGGCATAAAGACGGGAAAATTACCAAAATAGTCTTAAACTTATTGTAATTGTACCAATTTAGTTCTAAACCTTTTTTTTTTGCCAATTCAGTCATAAACCTTTTGTATTTGTGCCAATTCAATCCATCAAGCCAATTTTGGCCGGCTGGCACTGACGTGAACGCCGGGCGTCCGGCTGATGCTAATGTGGCAATCTTTAATTTTTTTTTATTTTTTTTCTTTCCTTCTTCCCCTAGCCGGTCGAGCAAGGTCACCTCGCTAGCCACCGGTCCGATGAGGGCGAGCTTACCAGTCACGGCGAGATCGCCCAGCCATGGCCAAATTTGGACAAAGGCGAGCTCGCCTAGCCATGGCGAGGTCGAGCCTCGCTAGATCTGGGTGAGATCGAGCTCGCCCTTGCCAGCCCTAGCCCCTAGCCTATTTGGCGGCCAGGGGAAGAAGGAAAGCAAAAAATTAAGAAAAATTCGAAAAAAATCTTTACAAAAATTAAAAATTGTTACGTTAGCGTCGGCCGGACACCTGGCGTTCACGTAAACATCAGCCAACCAAAATTGGCCGGATGGACTGAATTGGCATAAATGCAAAAAGTTTAGGACTAAATTGGCACAAAAAAAATGGTTTAGGACCAAGTTGAATAGGTTTAGGACTGTTTTGTTAATTTTCCCCATAAAAATCATTTGTAAAAAATGTGGTCATTCACATCCTCGGCATAATTTGAATCTGAGTAGATGCGTAACTCTAAGCTGGAGTTAGAAGGATAGTGAAGACCATACAATAGTGTCCTCGGCAGGACAATAGCATAGTGAATAGATTGCAGAGTAGACATAAGTTGACTCGCTTTGTAAATCGCGAAAGCTATGTTGAGATGGGTAATGATGAAATACATTAAACTGTCAACCAACTATCGATAAAATGTAGCGTCTATCAAAAGGGGCACCACAGAAAAAAGTCGAGCTTGTCATTAGGCTTCGATAGAGTAGAAGTTACTCTAAAGTCAGTGAAATCCAATTGATAATAGTCATCTTAACTAGAAGAAACTTCGATGCCTAAGAAATAATGGAGAAAGTGTAGATTTTTCATCTCAAATAGACCGATGAAATATTGTTTTGGATTTGTGATTTCTTCAATGTCATTTCCTGTAATGATCATATTATCCACATAAACTAGAAGTAACAGAATGCCTCCATCACTTTGACGAACAAATATTGCTTCATCATGAGAGTTAAATTGAAATCCAAATTGCTCGGCGGCAGTGCTGAATTTGGCAAGATCGCCATTCAATAGTGCGTTCTTGAGATCCATCTGAAAAATATTCCACCTCCGTACCAATGCAACCGCAATTAGTACCAACCTAGAACCGATAATAAGAAAAGGGTTACTATAATATTCGATTTCAGATTAGTTACAATTGAGGGGTATTTATAAATGAACAATATCTAGATGAAATGAAGTAATCTAATCTAATAAGGAAATTAGCTATTCTAGAAAGTAATGAAAATCATGAAATCAATTACAACCTCGAAATGTTATGACAATATTCTAACAATCAAAACACCGATTTCATTCCGGTCTCCATTCTTTTATACTAAACATGACCTCAAAGATTGTTCCTCGGCAATGTCCCTTCAATTAAGCAAGAGGGTAACGTTTTGGATGGACACCGTCCACGTCCCAAAGAAGGAAAAGATAAATCATTGTTTGTAATTTGTACCCATCTTCGTATCAAGAATAAACCGATTAAGTTAGAATTTCATCTAATCCCGCGTCACATCTATCCCTTTCTTTTGTTTTCGATTTGATTATAGAATAAAGGTGGAGGAAAGCATCGTGATTTGCGTATTACGTTGCTTGGCTTTGTTTTTTTTATGCTCGACTATATGATGTTTGGAGCTACGAAGGCACGCGGTGAACTTGTTTGAACATGCAAGGAACAAACCCGATTGAGATCATCTTTTCTCTCACATGTACGAGCTTATCAAGACCCTATTTTGAACGATTCAAAACGATCTAATTTGGGACCTCCAATGTCAAGTTGGGAGACATTATATCCATACTTATCATACCGAATTCACATGTGAAATATTAACAAAACTCTATAAACTAAAGTTTAAATCGAGTATCGAACATTTAGATAAAGGGGTGGTCGCGGCTCGCGGTCGAGTTTTATCGGGTTACCCAGTCACATGAACCCCTACAAGTCATGGCCAGGAGTTGGGCGTC